GGTTTCTGAAATTCACAAGCCACTGCAGAGCGGCATGGTCTGTGCGGAGCGTGAACTTACGACCCAAAAGGTAATGTCGAAACTGCTGCACAAACGTCACAGCTGCGAGTAGCTCCTTTTTAGTGACTGAATATTGCCGCTGGGATTTAGACAGGCTTTTACTGTCAAATGCCACTGCCCGCTCACCTTGTCCATCCCTCTGCAGCAGAACCGCGCCCATCTTTGACCCTGAGCAATCCACGTCTAGTACGAATTCGCTCGCTCCCGGGGAAAAGTCAGGGTATTTCAGAACCGGAGCCGTGCACAGCGCCGCCTTTAGCGAGTCAAAAGCCATCTGAGCCTCCGCATCCCAATGGAAGTCTACGTCTTTCCTGGTGAGGTGATGCAGCGGAGCCGCGATAGCAGCAAAATCTTTGATGTACCGTTTAAAGTACGTTGCCAATCCCAAGAACTGTGACAATGCCTTCTCATTCATAGGCACCGGCCAATCCTTTACTTTGTCTACCTTTTCTGGATCGGGACTGACCCCATCAGACGACACCACGTGACCCAGGTAAGTGATCTCTGATTGAAAGAATTTGCACTTTGAGAGGTTGAGAGTCAAATTCGCAGCCGACAGACGACGGAACACCTTCTCAAGACGTGAAAGATGCGTGTCAAAATCGCCAGAGAAAACCAAAATGTCATCAAAGTAGCTCACTGCATCAGTGGGAGCCAAATCACCCAATACAAGACTCAACAGTCTGGCGAACGAACTCGGGGCACCACTGAGGCCATATGGGCACGTTGTGTATTGCCAAAGCCCAAACGGCAACGTGATGGACGTTTTGGGTCGATCCTCCTTTCGGATGCTCATCTGGTTGTACCCGCTTTTTAGATCGAGCACCGAAAACAAAGAGTTACCTCCCAGACTGTCAAGTAGGACATCAACCCTTGGGATTGGAAAGGCTGGCACCTGGCACACGCGGTTAAGTTTTCGAAAATCCCCACAAATTCGCACAGAACCGTCTCTTTTCTTCACCAGGACTACCGGTGATGACCAAGTGCCATCAGACGGCTCCAGCACCCCCTGATCTACCATATCCTGCACGCGCTGCTTTACTTCTGTCTCCAGGTGTGGGGGAATTCGTCTGGGAGCTGATCGCACCGGCTTGGCAGTGCCCGTGTCGATTACGTGCTCAACTAGTGAGCAGTGACCAAGCTGGTCTGAGAACAACGAGGGGTACCGGCGCAACAGAGCAAAGAACTTTTCCCGCTGCTGACTCGTTAGCGACACATCAGACAGATCGACCAAATCCTCCAAGGAACCCGCGCCAGAGCTGGGACCATTTGACACCCCATTGTCTGCATCATTCCCCTCCCCTTCAATGGAGAAGTCGGCTTCCATTGATCCTAGGCCCTTGCCCTTGGACACCGAGACCGAGGATGACGTCACGTTACGCACCACGACCGGAACACTGCCGCCCGGCTTCACATCAACCAGTCCGTCCAGGAACGTCAACCCACTGACTGCGACGTCGGCAATGAACACAGCCTCTCCCTCAAAATCAGCATCATCGACATGGCCGGGGATCACAACCTCACAGTTTGGGGGTATAGCGTACGTTTCCTGTACAGACACCCTGCACACACGAGTCGTCGGTCGCTCAGGCAACACCGTGGCGACCGGCTGACGGTTCACCTGGTTTGCAGGTGTCAGCTGCTTCGTCGATAAGTCAAGAACAAACGGATACTGCGCGAAAAAATCCATGCCCAGGAGGCAGTCGATGGGACCGATTTCGTCGGATACAAACACAGAGAGCGGGTATGACACACTATCGATAACAAAATGCACTGCACACCGACCGAGCAGACGCAACGGCTGTTGAGTTGCAGTTTTAGCGGTGACGTCACAACGTTGTAGCTGGGGACGCGCTGAAATCTGATCATAAATCCGCCTGTGAACTATTGTTATAGCACTTCCTGTATCCACAACAAGCTGCGCTGGCACCTCACTAACCTTTGCCTTGACCGTAATGTCCGACGCCGATGCAGCGCAGTTATTCAAAACTCTCGGTCCCGGCGGCCGAGTGACCGGGGAGCGCGCGCGCCGCCCTGAGCGCCCTCCCCTCCGGCGTTTCCCGAGAGGCGGCACGTGCGCTGAACATGGCCCACCTTCCCACAGGCAAAGCACCTGGCTAGACGGAAACGACAATCGGGTTTCCCGTGACCCGTCTCCCCACAACACAGACATATGGGCATTGACACGTCACACTGTTGTCGTCCCCGGGCCCGGTCATGCCTCATCTGTCCCATCCGGTTAGTAGCAGCCAGCTGCAACTCCAGCTGCGCAATGCGGCGCAGAATTTGCTCCAGCACTGATGGTTCTGCAGCCTCGTCTCCCACTTTACGCACCCCCGGTCGCTCTGAGTCCGATCCGGCCGGCCCAGCCTCCGCCTGGTCGAGGGCGGGCTCGGACCGGGCGCCATCGCCGCCCACTGCACACACGCGCTGTCCCTGGCCCACCGGTCCCCGAGACAGACGATCAGCAGCCAGCACGTTTTGCACACTTTTTACGGCTGCATCAAAGGTCACAGATCCCAAAGACACCACTGCATGAGCCAACCGCTGAGGCAAGGCGGCCAGGAAATAGTGATAGAGATGCGTATCAGGCGAGTGGGCGCCAAACACGGCAGTGACCAGGCCGCGCAGCTGAACAATGAAGGTGTCCAGTGACTGAGCCGTCGGGTCGAATTTGAGCGCCTGCAGCGCGCTGTGGCAGTCCAAGGCGCTAGCGTCCGGGAACACGGCTCCGAGACGGTCTAGCAGAGTGTCGATTGAGCCGTCAGCAGGACGCTCAAACGTGTCGAACGCCTCTCGGGCCGCTCCATCCAGACACAGCGGCAAACAGTTCAGAGTCGCCTCACCCGTGAACGACTGCACGGCACAAAAACTCTTAAAATCCTCTCGGAAACGACGAAATGACCCCCGACCGTCATACCTGGGTGGCGCGAAGTGAGCCATTTCCTCTTGAGATAATCACGACGTCGTCGTAAATCACTGCGTATCACTTGGGGCGTGAAAAAAATCAAATGTTTATATAACAGCTCACAGCTGATCGGTTCCGTGTCAAACAATTTATCAGGCCAAGACTGTGTTAGGCCAACACAACCCGGTTCGCAACCACAACCACCGCTGCCACCAATGTAAGACACCTCAGTCTTCAGATACAGCCTCCGGTCTTACTGCATGTCTCTGTATTCCTGTGTTCTCAGCTTGACCGAACACACAACACACAACCAGCCGCGCCTCCGGCCGCGCTCCACACACACACCCTCTGCCCAGCGCTCTGCTCTGCTCTGCTCTGCTCGCGCGCCGACGCGCGACCGCTTCCCGCCACAGCCGGGAACACGATTTAGCCGTGCATCCTTCACGGCTCTCGGCCACTAAATAATATTATACCTACTTACACGTTGACCCTGCCCTCTACCCTCCGATCAAGTAATTCCTGGTCTATGGCAGAATTAGTCCAAATTTTAACGTAGCCGCGCACGGCCGGTCTCCTAACTGACTTCGCCTGGCAGCGGCCTGCCACCAACCACAACCATACCCGTCAGGAGCTCGAAAACGTCAAGCACACGTCGCGTTTCGAACCCGGACTTTTGCAACCGGGACGTGCGCTCTCACCACACGAAGTCCAACGCCCTAACGACCGAGCTACCGGGACGGACATTTACCTGGGGGTTTCGCCTCGTGACATTGACAGACGTTAGACACTTTGGCCGAACTTTAGCCGTAGCACTGAGCAAGCTGCGCAGGCCGATAGGTGCTCGTGGCGTTGAGGTTGGGTAACCTGTGAGCTGAACGCGATGTCGTGAGTTCGAGCCCCACTCCCGGGTCTGGTTTTATCTGGACACGAACCAAAACCTTCCTTCTACTGCATCACAGACAAGCACGATGATATCTTTCACCAACATCTTTCCCCAATATCCTCTAAAAAAGTCAAAATTATCGCTTATAAATGTTTAGCTAAGTTTCATTTTTAAAGAAAATATTTTTTTGGTCATTTTTCTGGAGCCATTTCAACTCTTTCTTTTCGGATTCTTTTCGACCCGATAAAACCCACCAAAACTGAACGTGCCAAATGAAAAAAATACCAAACTCAAATAACAGTTTAGAAAAGTCTAAGACATCATGCAGCTATTGTCTGAATAGTTGCATGCTATTTATCCGTCCTAGATTTCAATTATCATTGTTCAAGATTTTGGCTGGAACTGGCGCTGCCTCTCGCTTGTCCGTTTGTTTTAGATAATGATTCCCTTCAGTCGCATTCTTGCTGGTTCCACATGAACAGGATACCACCATGCCGGAGTGAACGCACCCGCAACCATCATCCCCTCCCCTCAGCCTCGGCGCAGCGGCGGGCGGCCCTGGGCGGCCCACTCCCGGCGCTACGCACGCCCCATGCGCCGTGATACCGCGTCACTCCCCCTCCCTCCTTCCCCCACAATGACCGGTGACCTCACTTCCCTCGGGATTTGGACTCGCCCTACCCCGACCGTAGCGCCACGTGGTGGCTCTGGAGATCTTAAATAGACCCACTGTACATGTATGCGCAGATATAGTATCATCTCAGCTAAAATATATCTCTAATTCACGTTCGACACATTCTAGTGTTGTTACAAAAATTAACTCATTATATTTTCAATTTATTTGACTATTATGCCTGACGAATATTTATTTTTCAAAAAATAGGTGCTATCTCCAAAATGGAAATTTTTCGGATCTCGGGGACCACACCATCGGATTCCTTGCAAAATTTTGGTCCAGAAAACACTAAAATTGGAAATAGGTATTTTCAAAAGTTATTTACCGTCTTTTGGGGCAATGTGCGTGCCCTGTACCCGTACAATCTCCCATCGAGCACGTGACTGCTCTCCCCTTCCCGCACAGCCCCCGCCCAACGCGCGGCAGCCCTCCCCGCACACTCCCGGGTCCCGCCGCGCGCAGTGCGCACCCACCTGGTGCCACCATAATCTCGTGCTTCTTGGAGCGGATCCTCAGAAAGGTGAGGTCGTTGGTGGGGTCCAGGTCGCGCACCGTCGACCTCGCCTTGTCGTTCAGCTGACTGATGAGGCCCGAGTACTGGACGGTAAGCGAGTTCTCTAGTGTGCTCCGGATCGGGATGCCTGCGGAGGGGGGAGGGGGGGGGGGGGAGGGGGCAGCGTGGTGACGGAGATGATGACCCGAGGGTGGTGGGACAGTCGATACAGGGTGGTGGGACAGTCTATACAGGGTGGTGGGACAGTCTATACAGGGTGGTGGGACAGTCTATACAGCCTATGCTGTTTGCACGGCTACGTGGGGGCCTATATACGGTGAGGTAAGAGCCAAAGCCAGTGACACCTAGTGAAGTTGGAACATCGGGACCAGATAGGCTGGAAATCGAGGCTACTGTCTGGGCCTCAAAGGCGTTGTTCCGGTCGTGTGGAGAACAATAATCGAGGATGATGAGACATCATTCCGTAAATAATGATTCATTTGCATACAGACACGCAGACACCATACAGCAATACACAGTAACACAGGCAATATATCCGCAAAGCTAACACAAAATACGATCATTACCTATCGACTCGTGGATAGATTCGACTCGTGGATCGTGGATAGCATTAGGGGTGACACGGCCCACTATCTAGGTACGGTTCTCCAGGGTATTAGTCGTAGGTCGCTCGGCGAGCGGGAGGGCAACCAGTTCCGCCCCTGTATCGCGTGACCCCTCGCTCCGCCCAGTTACGCACGAGCGTACTCCACGCCGCGTAGTAGCGTGGGGAGGGGAGGGTTATAATGGTGGCATGTGTAGAGGCTAGAACCGGTTTCCACCGCCATGCCACCGCCCAGCGACATGGAGCGGGGTCAGTGACCAGGGCGCAGGGAAAGGTCAGAGGTCAACTATAACGCAGAGCTTTGTGTCTCCCTCCCCTCCGCGTGTAACGACGCACGACAGCGGCCGGCCGCCGATCAGGCTTGACATGTCAAGGTCACCCGCAGTCAACGGGCTCAGAGGGTTGGTCGAGTGCGCGTCCGTGGCTGACGACAGTCTCGACCATGTGCTATGGTGCCGATAGACTAGCGTGGGTAATAAGTTTTTGTTCAGTGCATATGGCTGCTGGGGTGTGTCATCTTGATATATGATGCCTTGTAACGTGTATGATACGCTTAAAACCTCGCTGGCAGTGGCCGAGAGGAGAGGGGGCGGGGGGGGGGGGCGGGTGCCGCCTCCACATGTTTATTTTTGTTGATAGCTGCGAAAGCTGAAATTTGGCAAGCCTGACCTTTGATTCAAGCTGAATTTTTATGACAGCAGCTGTATTTTCACCCTCGCCCATGTTGGTGTTTTGCCAGCGTCTATCGTGAGGGGGGGAGGAGGGTCCATTGGACCCCTTTGCCGTTCAGTCCTTGATCGAGCTAACGCTTCGCGGAAAAAGAGCGTGTTGCCCGTGACGAGAGGAGGCCGATGATACCCAATTTCAAGGTCCTAGGTCATTGGTTGACATAACTCAAGTCGGGGAATCGGGACCTGTTAGAGCTTCGTAAAGTGAAGCTGTTATAGGGTTTTGCGGGGTGCTGATCACGAATTTCAAGTTAGTTTTGATCACAGATAATGTTTTCGTGCATCAGGTCACATGTTACGAGGGAAACAAAACTACTTCTTAAATGTTCAAACGGTTTCTAAATGCGAAATCAACTCCAAAATCTACCCTAGAAACATGTAGAACTCGAAAGAGTGAACAAAGGTCATCAAAGATCAGTGACCTGACTGACCTTCACGTGACCTTGATACCCACTAGAATCCATGGGATCAACATCCTTTCACATGTTTGATCGCTTAAAGCCACAAAAAGACAATAAAACGCGCTTTACGCGAAATACGCCAAAACTCGATTCCGGCCAAAAAATGGTTTCGGAAAACAAATCACAAGTCAAAGGTCTTTTGAGTCAGGGTCATATAAATTACAGGGTAGGCGTAATATTGATTAACTCGAGGGTACTGAAAGTGTCGTCGCAATCAGCCGCTTTTTGCGCGAGTTATTTGCGAAAAACTGAGGGTAGGAGGTCTGTTCGACACCCACCTAGTGTCGAACATCGTTAGTGCGAGGGTTAAGGTCAGGCCGTTAACCAATGACGTCAAAATTGAACCTCTGTAAGGTCCCAAAATGTCGCGACGTTGCAGCACCCTTCGTGCCAGGGGACTTTTCAACGGGGAATGAAGCTTATATGATCTAGTACTATCTCACAGAGGCCTCACAACTTGTGTGTAGCTATCTCGTATTTTTCTTAAGAGTGACCTGAAGTCAGGTCGGACACGCAACCTCACGATTATCAATCAGTTGGGAAATATGAAAGCTGTTATTTTGGCGCCAGGAGCCATCTAAAGCTGTCTCAAGCGCATTAATTCGCGCTTTTATACAATCTTTGTAAGCCCCAGCATTCGCTTTTCCATTCTTAAAGTTAGGCGACTTCATTTATGACGTCACTATGGTCACAGGAGTTTTCACCAAAAAGTCCCGATCAAATTGAGCTAGCGAGTCGGGAAGCCACCAGTGGACTTGTGAGGACCTACCGAATCGAAGAAGCTACATATATGACCTCCTTGGGCCAGCTTCGTGGCCTGAGTGGCTCTGCCCTGACCATGACCTGATGTGAACATGCCTTAAATTGACCTCAACGAAAACAAATCGTATACTATTCGACGCGCTTCAATTTGAGCATGCAAAACTCGATGGTGCCATAATGTTGGCTCTGTAACCACTTAAGTGGTGAAGTTGTTTACCAAATACCGATCCCGCGACTTTGAGCTGACCTCAGAGTTTATCGGTTGACCCGAGACATTCAAATCGGGTACCAGTTGCTGCATCTCATACGACGCACGCGCTCAGTTTTATTCGCAAGGCGCTAGCTCAATTAGGGGCAAAAAGACGGAGAGGGGTCGCAATCACCTCGGCCGGGGTATACTTGTGAGAAAATTGGTTCCTGGCTGCAGATAATCGCGAGTACAATAAGGGCAAAACGCAAAGCACACCTCACGGAACAGAGAAACAAAAGACAGTGACAGAATGACAGACGAACGCTTGTTCTCTCCTTCTCTCTCCTTCTCTCTCTCTCTCTCTCTCTCTCTCTCTCTCTCTCTCTCTCTCTCTCTCTCTCTCTCTCTCTCTCTCTCTCTCTCTCTCTCTCTCTCTCTCTCTCTCCCTCTCTCTCTCGGCACCTCCCCGGTCCGACAGTGTTCCTAGCAGAAGAGCAGTGCCTCTCCCCAGGGGCATCTCCATAATTACGCATTTCCAGAGTTCCATGACCCATGGCCTCAAGAAGCGAGCGGCGCGGACCGGCGCGGACGCTGCGAGGTCATTGTGCGTTTCAGCGCGTCGAGGAGATGGCGTGCCCACGCATTTACATAACCTTAGGAAGTAAAGGTACACCTGTTGTGGTTTCATCGCTGTATTATCTGCACACCACAAGGTAGCTCTTGGATATACAGCTTGACAGAAAGGGCAGTTGAAAAAGTATGATCAACTTCCGTATCTATCTCACCCCACTTGATCAACAGATCTCAGGGAGGGGAAAAGGTGACTATGCTTGTGTTCACAGCTGTTGGCTCTGGTGCACATATCTCGCTATCAACAGGTGATGGCCGATCAGAATCTGCAGCTGCAACATCGGCGCCAGATAACGAGCAGCAGCCCGCGGTTGCGGGAGGGTCATACACTGCTCAGCTCTGACCCTGAGCGCGCGCTGTCAGTACTTCGGCTGGAATGGAGCGGACAGACCATGGACAGTGCATGATCTACATGCAAAGCAGCAATGCCGGCTCTTCGGTGCGACCGATTTCTTATCAACTCAACTCGTATCTTCTGCACACCTACTCAAGTATGAACTGAGAGACAAACCGAACGACCGAGGTGTTGCTTTCGCGATCATCGAGGGAATGTGAGATGAAGGTACCCCGTCTAACGATTAATTATGCGAACCGTGAAATGGCGATATCCCGTTATTGGAACAGTGTAACAAAAATATTCCAGATAGGCACTCGCGCAGTGGATAGACAGTCGGAAATAGGGACAGCTGGCGCAATGCATCGGCAATTTTGCAGCAACAAGACATCGAGTGAATTTCGTGTTATCAGCATCAGGAAGGGTGATGAGGAATACACATTTAGAAGGTACATGGTTATGCCCGAGCGTTAATTACGACGCGGCGCGGCTGTTCAGATACGCGATACACAAAGTACGGCGCAGTGATTGGAGTGATGGTGCGTTGACCTGAATGTTACGCAGCGACGTGTTATTTTAACATGCTTGCGGTAATAGCGGTGACGGTATTTAGATATGCAATTGCAGGTGGCGGCATGTGTAGTTTAAACGTTGTGGGTAGTATGAACACCGGTACAGATTGTTGTGCATTGTTCGATAGGGAGCGTGTAATGATGCTACATTGCACCATGGTGGTGGTAGATTAGAATATTGCGATATGACAATTGGTAAGATATGTGAATGCTATATATAAATACCATGGCGCCGATCGCCGGCCGCGCCAGCCCCGAGACGGCACGGGCTAGAGACGGGCGCGGCCCTGTGCGGTGAATGTGCGAAGGTATAAATAGGCGCGTTTGAGACCTTCGGGCTCTCTCTCTCTCTCGGGCTCTTGCTCTCTGGTTCGCGCGCGGGCAGTGGTGGTCCCGACGCCGCCCGTGGTGGTCGCCTTGTGCGTCTGGTCTACAAACATGTAAGTTCTTGGGCCTTATCTCCTGCACAGTCGGACGTCTCTAACCGGACTCTTGCCAAGCCCTATCCACGACACTGGTTCCGACCGGCGGAGTGAAAGGGCTAGAGCCTGACTTCGGTTGAGTCTCTGCTGCGGTCGGAGATATGTCTCAGGCACAGACACGCACATATAGTCACACTGGCGTAGGTAACAACACTTCAGGATGGCCGCGGTACTGTGGGCAGTTTTTAGGTTCGTTTGATTGGTCTATATGCCTTTTTGAGACACCGTGTTTCGGGACTCGACTCAGTCCATTTCGGCACGTTTGGCTGCTATGAGTCAGTTCCACCCCTTTGGCAATATTATTATTTCGGTGTCATGACTTTCGGCTTGATCATTGTTTCGGCTTTCCATTGAATGTTTCGAACTTTGGTAATATTTACTTTAGCAGTGCACGGTTACCGTGACATGGCTCGTTTTCTGGCTCTTTTTGTTTGAATTGTTCGCTTTTATTTATTTCGGCCTTTTCAATTGCAATACATATTTAATATGTATACCTTCTACGTTCTTTCTCGAGGTCGGAAATGACGGTGGAAACGCTGGCAATATGATGATTCGGACACGAACGGGTTTGTGGGATACATGGTTTTTGGTCGATCAGAATACCCCTAGACAACGGCTAAAGGATTGTTGAGTGTTAAGACGATACCCCTAGACAACGATGAGTAGGATTGTGCAGATGACACAGATTAGAATACCCCTAGACACACGAGGAATATTAGCAGAAGTTACCACAACAGCCAGTAGGCGGGCCTGAATCCTTCCACACACCCATCCTTTACCCACTCTACATCCTCATCCTTCTCCCAGTCATCCTTATCCTTGTCCCCATCCCAAACACCACTTATAAATTCACATACTCGTATGCAGAAAACCCAAAATTCCGTTGAGGGTTAAGCACTGAAGTGATATTATGATGCGACAAGGTATAGGTCAAAACAAGTATGCACACGAGCGGGTGTGAATAAAACTGTGTTCGAGGTATGTCTTTTTATTATACATTCGATTTGCTTTACTATGCTTTTCAGACCCCATGAGACCCTAATTTTCGGCGATAATTTTTTTACTATTTGTCCAATTTGCTTCAAATTTTCACAATGCACATTTCAGCTCAAGCGCCAATTTTCGCCAATATGGTCTCTTAACAAAATATCAAATTTTAGGGTACTTGTCGTTGCCTCGTAATGTTAAAATCGGCTCCGTAAATCCGTCAGTGGAGTAGAGGCTATCCGTGCGTAGGTGTGACGTCACAAACACGTGACCATTAAGCTCCGCCCTCCCTGCGGACGGGGTAGTGACCTTGGCCGGTCAGTCGGCTGCGTGGAGCGGGCGGGGCAGTAGCTGTCGCACCGGGGCGGCTCGCATGGACCGTAGCTGCCGTGCAGTTGTCGTTGCAGCCGTAATTTCATCGAATGAGCTAAATAGCGCGCATAAGTAACGCACCAGCTGAAGCCCTAGACTAATTGTATCTATCACAAATGTACGTACACCTTGTTCAGTCACAAAAATATATATATTTCCACACAAGATTCGGGGCTTGTGAAAAAAAAACGCGCATAAAAGACGCTGTTGATTTCAAATGATTGCGTAAGATTATGTATCGCGTCAGACTACGTCAAAATTGCAAAACAGAATCACCATTAACATGATGCAATTTATGTGTTTGATATATGAAATTTGATTAGGAATGTATGCCGGCGTAATCGATTTATATCATCCCGGTGCAACTAAGCATTGAACACCTTCAGGACTAATCCATTTGATCATCGACTTAGGTTGAGAAGGTCGCCAGACTAACTTTGCCCCCAGAGCTTGTGTGTTGAAATGCAAACATGAAAAGTAAAAGCCTAGAGATAGTTTCCTCACCATTGAGGACATACCTACTGTTACTTAAGTTTTACAAAAAAAAGATACGAGTATATTGATGATCGTTCTCGTGTAGTGCCCAACGTCCGCCTGCCACATTGCTATTTCTTTTTGTGCACGTCTTAACAATATAACACACACATGACACCGCGATAAAGGCCATTTCTACCATACGACACATTACGCTTCTGCCCCACACGACGCCCCGCACCGCTTCACGAATCACGAATACGGTCGTTTCGCTGGAGCGATGCCCCAGGCAATCGGCCGTGCCCGAGACTCTTTATCCTACTTTGTTGCTTTCTGCGCCTTCCTCAGAAACATTTATTGGCACTGCCAAATATATCAATATTTTTGGGTTAAGCACAGGCTTACACATGATCTTATAGGTAATCGGGTAGTGACCCGACCCAACCTGACGATGAGATAAGTGCAACTCCGGCTTAAATAAATGTTCAGAGTCCAAGAGTCTAGCCATCTTTCCTTCTACGGCCGGTTCCGTTCCAATAGATCCTACCTTGATTCTGATCATTCTGAATATTCTGAGCTGGTTTGACGTTTAAATACCAATATAAGGTGAAGAGGATACCAAATGCCCTCAAACGGATAATTTTTTTGGCTTTAGCTTTGCCAGCTTCACTTGTCTCCAGTATGTGGCCCCGCTCCGACCTCTCCGCGGTGCTGACACCGACTGAAGCGGCCAAGGCTATGAAGCGGCATAGACCCATCGCGGTCACGGCCAGTGGGCGGAGTTTAGTTGGGCCCGGCGCAACGTGATTGGCCAGCGCTCCTATCCAATCCGGTGCGGTAGCGAGCGAGCCTCTATCCGGGTGCAAAAACTGATTAACATTACGAGCCAACGACAAGTGCTCTAAATTTTGATATTTTGTTAAGAGACCATATTGACAAAAATTGGAGCTTAAGCTGAAATATCGTTTGCCAAAATTTCAAGCTGATTGGACAAAAATTGAAGAAATTATCGCCGAAAAGCAGGGTCTCATGGGGTCTGAAATGCATAGTAGTTATTGGTAAGAACAGATACAACCAAGAAGAGCGCCCCTGAAGAAAAGGTGGCGCACCGGACAGGTGCGATTTTAAGGTCTAAGGTCAGTCGGGGACCTCTAAGTTCGGATTAAGCGCTGCATGTTAGGGGTAAAAAATGGGGGCAAAAAGCATCCCAATTTTGGCAGCATCGTCATGCTTTGTCATGGCACTGATCCACTCCCTCGGCCGAAATATTATTACCCTTTTGTATGAGTTCTGGCATAATCCCGCACATTATGCTGCATGTTGTTTGCCATGAAAAAACAATGCATGTTCAGCTACGTTCTACGCAGTACACACTAACCTAACCACCACCCCATCATCCACCACTAGCCACTATCCCGTTCTGTGCCCCCTTCCACCCCACACGAATCAGCCGAGACACTAGTCAGTCGGGCTAGCGCTATCCTATCCTCCCTCCCTGACTGCACAGCGCTTAAACCCAGAGCCGAGACTTCCCGAGCGCGACCTCTGACCCCACGCGGTCCGAAGGGTCGGCCGATGCCTAAGGGCGCGCCGCGCGCCGGCCACCCGGATAGCCTCTGCCGAGTCTCCCTTTCATACACCGTTTACTACGCGCTCGATTCATTCATGATTCTGTGTTTCTGCGTTCCTCTCGTTAGATGGCTCTACTGATGTCATAGGCGATCCCAGGAAGATTGCGGCCAGAATACCCCAAACGGCAGAAAATGAGGTTTTTGGTGAATATCTCGGAAAGTATTTGGCATACAACGATGCAATTTCACAGTCTCGTGGTAAATGTGCATACACACAATTCGGGTTGATACTTATGCATTTGAACATTATATAGGACCAGATATGTCCAAAAAAGCAAAACCAACAAGACTTTTACTGGAGAGCCGTACCAACCTTCGGAGTTGACAATAATGGTCCCGATGACTCCCTTGTGTGACTGGATCCGCTTCAAAGTCTCCTCCACCTCCGACGCCTGAAAATGCAGCACAGTTGGGTCACGGGTACCGATTCGAGCATTTCATCAGAGCGCAAAGTTCGACATAATTTTAAATTTTTAATTAAAATTGACAAATATCAGGGACATGCGTCATGCAAAGGTACCTAAGTATACTGGTAAAGAAAAAAAAACATTGGTTGTCTTCTCTTGACAAATTTCTCTATCAAGAGGGCAGGGAAACGAGAACACGAAGTAAAAGGATTACAAATGGGGATTTCATGATACGAATCGACTACCTCCTTGCAACAGAAATGCAGGAATATAGACATGTGATGGTTGTAATGCAAGGACAGAACTTTCAGGATTTAAACCCATGCTGTTGATTCAAAGAACTTAAGTAGAAATACTAACCATGGCCTGCTTTCACTCCAATGGGCTTCTCTTCAAAAAGTAGTTTAAGCGACTCCCCTGAAAGCACAAAGCACTTATGAGACAGCCAGGTAAAACAAAATAAGAAGTTGAAAAAAAAAACAGCTTAATACAAATTTGTCAGACGTTTCCCTAATGTGCCGGATAGGTCCGAGGGGTCCGAGGCAGCCGCACAAAACGCGAAAAGATTCTTACGTCACTGTTTAATTTCACGACGGGTTGACAAAATCGTGACTCACATTGCAGGGCACCGCGTTTTTTAGTACTGTCTACTACATAGATAGTGCTCCTCTCATTAGGAATGCGCAGCGTTTCGAGCAAGGTCATAACAGAACGTGGTGGGTACGAAACGTCGTTTCCAATATGCAATTTAATTACATATATTCACAAATCACAAGCGACAGCAGTGCTACAATAAATCCATTTTACCAAATATGTAAGTGCCTATTCCATTCACAGTTCAAATATTGTCCAAAAGTAAGCCACGTAGTTTACATATTAATTTCAACGCATTAACATCTCAAGGAAGCCTTCAAAATGTTCAAACAAGTGAAGAAGTAGATGTTTCTTGTCATTGCAGAGCGCGAGGTCGATAAATTTTCGGTGACTCCGACTCTCACAATGCCTACGGTTTTTGAAACTGACTCTGACTCTGTAACTGGTCAGAACTGTCGACTACGATTGACTACAACTCCGACTCCGGCTCCACAGCCCTATTGTAGATTGAGTTTATTCTCCCATGAAAACAAACATACCAAATGACTAATAATTATCATAGCTACAATAAAACCAGCAGTTGCTGGGGTATTTCACCACCCGGTACCCACCAGTTGCGGGGGGGGGGGGGTGTTAAACGTCCCGAGCCGAGAACCGATAGGCGCAGCGAAAATGCACGAGGTGGCAAACGACAGAACGCAACCAGACGATTCTGATGAGACCTTTAAAGTTGAATTGAGGCCACGGATCGGGTCAAGATCCGGTCAAATTCAAACACCTGGGCCCTGTTTCACCGGTGATAGCAGCACGCTGCTATTACACGTGTCAAATTGGGTTTCCATGGAAACATCAACAAACCATGATGTCGTCAATATCTGTGTGATGTCATCAAATATTGCTGCTAAGCGCTGCTAAAAGTTTCACGGCCGTGCGATCAAACAAATGTATCAAACGCACTCAAAGAGACAGCAACTCTGTTCCAAACGCAGCTATGAAAAAGCTCACGGGTTACACGAAACGTCATTAGTGTGACGTCATCACATTACGTCGGCTCGCGCAATTTGATAGCAGCGTGCTGCTATCACCGGTGAAACAGGGCCCTGAGATCGGGCTTTCAGTACCATGGACCTTGTACTGGACGCCTCTTGTCATGACCTCTGTGAGGAATGAGGATTGCGCAGAATCTTTCACCTCAGTGTTACAAAACTGTCAGATTCATGCATGGGTCAATTATGCGTAGGTCAGGGTCAAGGTGAGGTCAGTCAGGTAAGAACATATCCCTGAAAATCAAGGTTGGTCCTATTCACAGCCTATGACATATGTTTCATGGGTACTTGAGTTGAGGCATGGAACTCAATGGTGACATCCATTTCATCATGCCTGTACATTTTTGATGAAAGGGCAAACCAACAAAACAAATGCATGCATCATGACTGTAAATAATCAAAAGAAATTGCCATTATTCAGTTCAAAATGAGGGCAAATATAGAAGGAAAATAAAGTCATTTGATTTAACAGGATTTTGACAGCCAGATGGTTTTATGGCATGTGTTTGTAGGTACCTGCCCTATTTTGTGATTTTATGACTTTTTAAATATTTGCCATTTTTGGTCAAAAACTCGGAAGCAGTGACATCATGTAAACCTCAACATAAAAAACTATTTTTTTTAGCTTTGTCATAATAAAAATTAATCAATTCACCACAGGTAAGTAGGACAGGTACAGCCCTTGAGTCTTGTTCACTCATTGGTGGGTATTATTCTTTTTCAACACAACAGAGAATCAAGAGGGCTATGCTATCATTTGATCAGAACTCATAGCCAGTCATTGTGGGACTCCCCACTATTTTGATTAGGCCTATTATTTTACAAATCGTATGCCCAGTATGGAAGCAAAAAGTAAGTGTGTTTGAAGCCTGAAGGGAGGACATTCATCCATTACCAGCAAACTGGGGGGGGGGGGGATGTACCAATAATGATGTATGAGCCTAGTCTAAGGGTCAGAGGAGCCTCACAGGTCTCAGTGTTATGATATCAGAGTGCCTGAGGGCTGTTCACGGGCCGTGTGCGGTCGAACCGTACAGGCGTACACAGCCTCCAAGCTCCGCCCACTGCGTCCCTAAATCAGCCTTCCGTCACTGCACACAGCGACCGCTGTCGGCCACAGGAAACAGTCCACCACATGCAGCAAAGACGTCAGAGCCGCCTACCCATCCCTTACCCCTACGCCTGCTGCACCCACCGCACGCAGCAGTGTGCAGTGCCCGTGAACAGCCCGTTGAAATTCCTTTTAGCACACCACACCATTTGGATAATAACTGAGTCATACATCCAGAAAAAAATCATGAACATAGAAAATTATCAAAACAATCACGTAACTAAAAAATATCACGATAACTACCACAAAATCCTACGAAAAGGAGAATCGCCGATTGCGCGCCACTTATTGCCGCCACCACAAGACTACCGCTTATAATTCAAATTTTACTTTTCTTTGCCGTTGCACCTCTTCTCTTTGAATTTTAAGTTCCTATTGTATGATACTTTTATACCTACAGTACAGCGAGAAATAATATCCTCTTTCTCTCTCTTCCTTTCACTCTTTGGGCTTTGGCTCTCTTGGCTTCCAAGGTTGCCGGTATCAGTGGATATGTGGTTATCAAAGAAGTAATGTGGGCCTATGATGTCATTTAAACATATGACGTTTTTGTTAGGTGTTGACGGTGTTGAGAAGTAATTAGTTGATTATTTATCATTGAAAAACAAAAAAACTAAAAATCAAAACGAAAAACAAGACTAAGGCCTTTGTTATGGTTATTCCTCTTTAATCTTTTCCTTTAATTAAACTTAAGAGGAAAAAAAGAAGTCAAGGAAAAATGTTAGCACCGATTTTAGCAACTGAATAATGTTCGATAAATTCTCAAAAGCTGCTTTTGAAGAAAATATTGAGCAATCAATTGCTGGCAGAAAACCCCATCCCTCCCAGCAACCTATCCCCCACTCTTCAAACCATTCCTGTCATCCAACTCTCGTCGTAACCTTACCATTCACAAACTTCCTCCTTCCCTCCTTTCACAAACATCAATTTACCGGTAAGTTTCACTGTCATTTATGCGTCTTAACGTAAATTCATGGGTTTTTCCCCATATTCATGGCATAGTACATGGATATGGGTTTTCCCATGTTGTCTTGCTGTAAAAGTGGCCACCGGTCTTAGTTAGGACGGCCGGTTTGTTTTGCGCGGCGTAGTTAGGTCGCCGCCCTCCTCGCGAGGCCGGTAACGTAAGTTAGGGCCACTAAAAAAAAAAAAAAAGACGGGCACTATGGGAAGGAGGGTGCAAACTTTAGTGCCCTGGGTGCAAATATGGACAGGGGCGCGGGAACTACTTTCCAACTGGGGGGGCACACCATAATAGAGATCAACCTAGGGTACCCCCAAATCTAGTTTTCTCACCGGTTTTAGGCCACTTATTTTTCACCCCTCGGCTTTTTCAACAAAAAAAGAAAACATTTGCAAAAAAAGTGTGGTATTCCGTCTCAAAGCTGTGGGGGCACCGCCCCCACGGCCCCAGAGTTGGGGGGGCAAGCTGCCCCCACTGCCCCCCCGGCTCCCGCGCCTATGAATATGGACCAATTTATAAGCTTTCGAACAGGATCATGATTCTCAACGGCGTGCACCGCGCGCCGCGCAGCGGAGGCGCAAAATCAGAGGCGTTTTCCGTAAATTTCTTGTTGGACGCTTGAGCCAAGCTGCTGCGCGCCCTAACTCTTCAACAACAACAACCGTAAATTTCTTATGCGGGTTTGGTTTTCTTCGGTTTTTCGTTTTTCCTACCTATAAGAATTTTGGAATTTTGGTTGCTACGCGCCCTAACCCAAAACTTGCCCAAAACAACAACAGGAATGTTGTTTTTTCCATTGGAGTCTTGCCTTGGACGGGTGCGTGGTCAAGATTCGTCAATATATTTTTAAGAAATCCAGGGGGGAGGTGGTTAACAGACGAAAACTATTCTATTCCGGTTCTTTCCATGATAAATCATTTCAATTTTTCGGTAAGGTAATGGGGCTTATCTGTAAGTTTCTCAGTGCTTGTGCGAGGATCATAATATAGAGCATTTTGTGCTTAAAATTATTAATAAACAAGTGTTTGGATGTAACTTTTTTTAAACTATGAGGGTAAGGTCACTAATTAAAATGAGGCTCATCAATTATCTGAAACAACTCCACTCTGACTTCAACTTTGACATACAATCCTTTATTGCCACTTCAAATAAATGGCTGAAATTAAAATGTTATGTCAGTCTTGGTCTCCTTAGCTCAGTTGTCAGTAAAGTCATATGCAATATAGAATAGGCTAAGTTCTTAGTTGAGATTAAGTCAAATTGTCAAGTCAATCACTATTCAGCACAGCCTACATAGATCCTCAAGAAGCAGGGCTTATAGCCTATTTGATGAGCTAAATGAGCATTCAAGGATATCAGTAGGGCAGACGTCACACAAAGGTTCTCCAACCAAGGAGAGACGCTATGCCAGAAGGTGCTTTTTTAGCAAAACCTAAACAAACTTAACCTAACCTGACCTAACCTAACCTACACCTACAGGCTACAACATCTACAACCCACAAACCTACGGCACCTCTCCTCAGTTGGAAAACCTTCGTGTGAGGTCTGCTCTACTAATACCCATTCCAGTTTATAAGCAATAACTCAATAAAGCTTGAACATGAACATTGTTAGCAAATTAAGATGAGACTCAATGCCTAGGACCTGGTGGCTAATGCACTAGACCTTAACCTGACTTGTCCCTTCTTGCACTAACCTTTACCTTTCCCTTACCATTGGCCAAAGCATAGGTGGGGAATTGCAAGGAACTGTGAATGTCCTTGCACAGAAAATCTGCCACTCCAAAGTAAGTGACCTTAGCCCCTGTCATCTCAGATGATCTGTTGTGACTCCAAGTCAAGCCAGCACACTGGAGTGAGAGATTTGTTGTGTTTGAGCACCCATTATTTCCTACAAGTCTCCACCTTAGCTGTAGGTCACAACCAAATGTAGTATTTTGAGGGTGAGGCAAGACTGCAATCTTGATAAGATCTTGTCTGTGTCAGCAGGGGGCACTCAATTGGTGGGTGGAGCAGTGTGGATTTACTATGATGTGTTGACAGCTAAAACCAGCTCATGCACCCTCTGCAGACAGTGTTTTCCTAGAAAATGATATACAATGTACACTGTGCAGTGTGCAGAAAATGAAATTGTACAGAAGGCTGATTTAAGTTGACCAGTGAAAAATTGGCCTTTAATTGCAATTTCTCATCTTTCTTATAAGTTAATAGACTTAGTAGCAAGAATTTTATGTCTTGTTTGATGTGGGTGCTGGCTGCTGGGTGGTTGCAGATTTTCAGCCTGGTTGGCATGGGTTTTTGTGCATCTGTCAACCTGTCTAGTGCAGCTTGTTGACTCTGTTGCCATGCTTTGCGAAATGCAATGTGAGGGTGAGGGGTATTTATTTCTAGGTGATGACCCTAAAGTATCACTAGCATTATTAGGTACTAATCATGCTGTCTGTAAGAATGAAACATAACATTTGATGCAGGTTTTAAATGCTCATCCAAATTTCAAGTTGGTACCCATTTGAAAAAAAAAACTTCCTGAAACTTGCATGAAGTTTGTCTAAGAAAGTGGTGCTTTTCAGAATTCTCTCCCTTTTTAGCAACTAAACTAATTTTTTCCAGCTGTTCTCACATCTTAGCATGTTTTTTTTCAGTACTATTAATTCATTTTTGGGGCTTCAAGCTGCAGTTCAAGTTTTCCATCTTTACTACATGTGTATATGAGGACATTCACTTTCTGATTCAAAATCATCTACATTTTTCAGATGTTGATGTATTTTGCTAGAACAGAATAGACGCACATTAGAGCATTTCACATCTGGCTACAAGTGCCACAAGTCATCACCATGATGCGGAAGGGGGCCGGTCTGACGGCCGACGACTACCTCTCCATCTTCAGGACGGGCGTGATGCCTACGGAGAACGTGCCCACGCCCGTGCCGAGCGCCACCGACGAGATGGGCTTCGTCGAGCGGCAGCCCGATCCGGAGGTGCCCACGTACCGGCTGCCGCACGGCCAGGCCTACGCCGAGTACTACCGTCAGCAGGAGGAGCGCGCGCTGCTGGAGCGTGGCGCCGCCGACGCGGCAGACGCCGCCACCGCCGGTGACGACGTCGGTTCGACGGTGACGGGGCTGACGGCCGGCATGAGCCAGCTGGAGGTGGACACGTACGCCGAGACGCTGTCACAGCTGGCGCCGGCCGCCGAGCAGCGGGACACTCAGGTGTACGGCAACTACGACTTCAGTCGAGTGGACCCGGCGGCGGCGCGGCTGCCCATCCAGGCGCGCCGGGAGGAGATCGTCAACAAGGTGAACGCCTACCAGGTGGTGGTGCTGGAGGGCCGCACCGGCTGCGGCAAGACCACACAGGTGCCGCAGTACCTGTTGGACGAGAGCTGCCGGCTCAAAAAGTACGCCAATATCATTGTCACACAGCCGCGCCGAATCGCCGCTGTCAGCGTGGCGAAACGGGTGGCGAAGGAGCGCAACTGGCCGCTCGGCACACTGGTCGGCTACGAAATCGGTCTAGACAGGAAGACGGGACCGGACACTCGAATCACCTACTGTACCACCGGTGTACTCCTGCAGAAGATCGTGCACGAAGGCAACATCAACCGCTACACGCACGTCGTGCTGGACGAGGTGCACGAGCGAGACACGGACACAGACTTTGCGCTGCTGCTGGTGCGGCGATTGCTGCGCACTACCTCGCGCCACGTCAAGGTGATTCTCATGTCAGCCACCTTCAACACGCACATGTTCGCGCAGTACTTCGCGGTGCCGGTGCTCAACCGGCTGGACCCGGCGCCCATCATCTGCGTCGGTAAGGAAGAGATGTATGATGTAACGGTTCACTACCTGGAGGAGCTGATGCCGCTGCTTCGTGACGGCGGCGGTGACGCTGTGCCGCGCTCTGAGGGACGCTCCGAATGGGACAGCAACTCCTCGGCGCTGCCGGCCGTCAATCCACAGCTCTATCAACTAGTCCTTCGTCTCATCAAGGTGATGAACTCGTTTGACGTGAGTGACTTCGGCCCGAGTCCGCGCAACCCGCGTTTCGGCGCGCAGCGCGGCTCGGTACTGGTCTTCCTGCCGGGGATGCACGAGATCCGCGAGCTGGCTGCCGAACTGGAGGAGGAGCGACACCAGGAGCGCTGGCAGATCATGCCGCTCCACTCGGACATTACTGGCGACGAGCAGGCGGCCGTGTTCCAGCCGCTGCAGGCCGAGCAGCGCAAGATCATCCTGTCGACCAACATCGCCGAGAGCTCCATCACCGTGACCGACGTCAAATACGTCATCGACTTCTGCATGACCAAACAGCTGGAGCTGGACCAGGAGACCACGTTCCCGATGCTGAAGCTATCCTGGGCCAGCAAGGCCAACTGCCTGCAACGGCAGGGACGTGCCGGTCGTGTGAGCTCCGGTCGTGTGTACCGGCTGGTCACGAAACGGTTCTACGACCAGCTGCGTGACTACGGCGTGCCGGAGATGCTCCGCAGTCCCCTGGAGCACGTCGTGCTCAAGGCTAAGAAGTTCTGCGCCGAGTTCGAGCCGAAGGCGGTGCTGGCGCTCGCTCTGGAGCCGCCCCAGCTGGAGAAGATCTACACGGCCGTGCTCCACCTCAAAGAGGTGGGAGCCCTCATCGACATCCGCGGCGCCGAGCGGTTCAACGCGTTCGACGGCGAGCTGACTGTGCTGGGACACATCATGTCGACGCTGCCGGTGGATGTGAACGTCGGCCGGCTGCTGGCGCTCGGTCACGCCTACGGCTGTCTGCGAGAGTGCCTGGTGATCGCCGCCGGCCTCACCGCCAAGAGCTTCTTCGCGCGGCCGTTCCGCGACGAGCTGCGCGCCTACCAGATGAAGGTCTCCTGGGCGGGAAAGACGCTGAGTGACTGTCTGGCCATCCTGGCGGCGCATAAGGTCTGGGAGGACTGTAAGCGGCAGGGTCACTTCCAGCGCAGTGGCGGCCGCGGCGAGCGGGAGTGGGCCGAGAAGCAGTTTATCCAGCTGCGTTGTCTGCAGGACATGGAGACGCTGCGCCAGGAGATTGAGCGCCGTCTGGAGTCGTGCAACATGCGCCCGCTGCCGGCGCGCAACCAACTGGAGAGCGAACAGGAGCGCCGCCAGCAGGCGCTCGTGCTACAGGTGAGAGCGATAGTGAAGGTTGAACCCGGGCACCCGGTTGAGAGGGCTGACGTTTTGTACACATAGATTCGGCATCTTTTTTCACGAATAAAAATGTCTAGCTTTGACGGAATTGTCGTGCATAGACGAACGTATACCTTTCACTCTCCCCATGATATTCATGTTTAGATAGATAAGTTGCAAATCATAGTTATTCACATGCAACAGCAGATAGTGCCTGATAGGAGTGCTATGATCTCCAAGGGAGTGTCATTCCTGTGTCGTCTATGGCCTGTATCCCTCACACTCACTTAGATCCGGCAAGTTTACAGTACACTCGTATTAATAATTCTCGCTGACTCCTCGCCACCCCCTCCTCGACCGACGCGTCCTCCCCCCTCCCCCCAGGTTTGCGTGGCGGGCGCGTTCTACCCCAACTACCTACTCCGGCTGTACCGTGAGGAGCGGGAGCAGGACGCGAACCGCGAGCTGGGAGGACGGAACCCCCAGACCACCGTGGCGCTGACGGGCCTGCCGCGCGAGTGCGGCCTGCTGTACTATGGCCAGCTGGTGCGCCAATTCCGGTTCAACCCGACAGATCCAGATCCCATCATCACCTGCGAGAACTCAAAGTGAGCGAACGATCAGTCGGGTAAACGGTGTGGTTTAGTCTGGTTTTGTCGGATAGGAAGACTGAACGGGTGTAGTTTTAGCCAAAAACTTTTTTGTTGTGCTGTCAAGATTCAAAGATTGCTTACATTTCTTCATTAAATATGATCTGTTTTATTATGCTCCCATGGAGTAGTAAAAGGAAATATTTCGCAATGAAAATTGTTTTTGCTCATCGTATTAGGCCGTACGCACTCATTGATCTTACCTGTAACCTGACGTGCGACCTGCGCCCCAGGGCGTACGTGGAGTTCCCGGTGCGCCGTCGGCCCGATGACCAGGAGCACGCGTGGGAGGGTGAGATCCCGCCGGCCGTCTACCTCGCCGTCCGCAAGGGACAGATCAAGACCAGTCGCGTCTCCATTATGCGCTACTCGTGAGTTGTTGGAGCTTAGGGACGAGCGCTGTATTAGGCGGATGGTGCTCTAACCCAATATGCTGTAAATGGAAAAAAATAATTCCATTGATGCTTTGAGTCACTGACACTCGACAATTATATGCCGACGCTCTGAAATTTGATGCCTTACAATGTGCAATATTTTGCTAAGCTCTGTGAGCATTGTCTCAGCAATTATTTCATCTTGCCTCGTCGATCATTTGAATATCATGTCTGATTTTTTAGACGAACCACACATACAGTGCTTTATAATTTTAAACCATCTATTCATTGAGCTGATACAAATAGCTTTATAAGGAAGACAGAGGATGATAACCTGACGATAATCAACCGCGAACCATCTGCGAACCTACTGCGTTGATCGTGCCTAACACACGTCTCCCTTTTTCCCAATTCCTCTCTCACCTCTCACTCCTTAACTCCCCTGTCTCCGCAGGCCGGAGGAGGAGAAGCAGCGCATGGAGCAGTACATGGCGATGTGTGAACGCCGCCGCGGCTCGGCCCCCCGCGGCCCCCGGCCGCTGACAATGAACGCCCCCACCACGGAGGGGTCGACTCGTAGCGACAAGTGCCGACTGCCCGGCGTGCACCTGTCCGCGCTACCCGTCCGAGTCACACACGTTAGTTATTGGGGAGAGGGCGTGCTGTTGGGGAAAGCACGTCAGCAGGCGGGGGGGGGGGGGAGGATCATGTCAGTCGGGGGTACGTCAGAGGGACGATGGGAGTTACTGGTGCTAGGGATTGAAGGGTGAGATGGGACTGACCCACTTTTGAGTAGGACGTCTCTGGAGTTGCGTACAGCGAGTTCGATGAGGCTAATTAGTGTGTGATGGCGTTATAGTCCATAACTGCACATAGCGGAATGCTCGGCTAGACGTGAAGTGTGCATAACTTCGTCGTTCGATTTAACCGCCACTTTATGATTTGTTCGTCGGGCACTCCCTTCGCATTTTCGGCACCTCTCCTTCGCTCTCCGTTTAGTATCTCTCAAACTGACTGCTCCTCTGCCCTCCTTCTCAGGTGGAGGACCCGAGCCACTTTTACGTGCAGTACGCCGACCCCCAGTCGATCGACTCGTGCTCCTCTGTGGACGGCCGGATCAGCCGGCTGGCGGGTCTGTGCCGACCGCTGTCGGGCCGGCCGCAGATGGGACGACTCTATCTGGCGCCGTACACGGAGCACGGTGTGACAGCCTACTTCCGAGCGCGTGTGGACACAGTGCAGCAGCGTGACTGTCAGGTGTGGAACAAGGGGGGATAGAGGGGTGATCGAGGGAGGGTAGGAACGCGTTTGGGGACTAGCTGACAGGGTTAGGAGTGATTGTCACTGTCGAAGTGGTGTGGACTATGGAGACGATGATAGAGATTAGAGAATCGAGGGATCACGAGTCATTAGTGTTGGTTAATCGATCAAGACACGGCGACTTTCGTGCATTGCGTACCTAGCTCGAACACGCATTTTAGATGTTGGGTCTTAGATGGGTGGTAGGTGTTGTTTGTGCACCGTGCGATTGACCATCCACCCCCTGTCTTGCCCATGCGGAGCCGGTACTGATCCTCTCCCTACCTGCGACAGGTGTACTTTGTCGACTACGGCAACACCTGCGTGGTGGCCATCTCGGAGCTGCGCGACTTCTGCCCGGAGCTGATCGAGTCGGGCATTCTGGAGGTGAGCTCAGAGTACACCAGACGGTGGAGCAGATGGGCTCGGCTACGGTGACGCTCACCGGTGGAACATTTAGCTACATGTTGTAACCGAAATAGAGTATCTGATCTGGACATAGTCTGACAGTGACGTATCACAGTGAAATCTAATCATGAGCTCTGGTGAGTTGACCGGCTGACCTCGGCCGGGGCGGACGCGGGCGAGGGCGCTCCGCGCGCGGTGCGAGTGAGAGCGGTCAGCAGTGGGTTTTTTTGTGGTGTCTGTGGACGCCATGAGTAAGAAAAGAAAGGCGTGCTCCCCTGGTCAGGGGGAGCAGAAGGACTATCGTGAATTAAAGGACTTTATAGTGAAAGAGAATGAAAAGTGTGTTAAAGAAATCCAAGAGTTCAGTGAGAGGCGACTGTTGGCAATGGAGAACTCCCTGACATTCACGATGGACGTGCTGTCAGAATTGTCTGAGCGTCAGAAGTCGGTGGTTGCGAATGTTAAGGAGCTTCAAAAAGTGACAGAGAATCTGAGGAGCAGAGTGCAGCAGTTGGAGATGAATGAGGACCGCCGGCTCCAGAATAGCAGGTTGGTGTTTTTGATATTCTCCGGGTCCGCTCTCCAGGCGCATACCAACCGTGATGAAGCGGTGGATCTGATTCGTTCAGCTGCGCGAGTTCCTCAATATGGATCTAGACCGCACACAGATCCAAGATATCACCAGACTTCGAAATGGAAAGATCGTGATTGAATTTAGCTCAGCTGCGCCCGGCTCTAATAGAGATGCGCTATTCAGAGCTAAGGCCAAACTTCGAGGTTCCGGCCTCTACATCACGGAATCGCTAACCCCCTGGAGGCAGGAGATGTTCAGGGACCTTATTCGAATGAAAAAGGAACGACAGATCTACTCGGTTTTCACAAGAGCCGGGAACATAATGATCTGCAGGTCACGTGACTCACCGCCACTGCGGATCGCTGACCCGGAGGCGTTGCGTCAGCTGGCTGGGTCGAGTGCACCACAGAGCCCCGTGCAGAGGCGAGCCCAGCCGGGGGAAGAGAGAGCGAGGAGCGAGATAGAGGAAGGAGCTCTCCGACGTGATGCGCCTGCGCCCTCGGCGCGGGGCGGTCGAGAGGGAGTGACGACCCCCGGTCGCGACCCCCGGTCACGTGACCGTTCCCCTTCCGACTCTCTGAGGAGGAGCGGCGGCGGCCGTCAGGAGGCTCAGCTCCAGCGACAGGACGCGCAAAATCGCTCCGGGACTGCGGCTCGTGGGCGCGTCTCGTCGTCGCCGTTACTAGACTGCGCGCGGGAGGCTGTGCGTTCGGTGCAGCTGGCGGCGCCGCTTGAGTCTCCGGAGAGCGTTTCAGCTGGACTTTCGCCTTCTCCGAGTGACTCCCTGGTCGGCCCCTCTCAGGTGGCGGGCCTGGGTGCGCCACTGCGAGTGACGTCTGGGTCAGATCTACCGTCGGCCACAGGTCTGAGGTGGGTCGGTTCGGAGGGCTCGGTGCTGCCACCTGCCGGGGACCGTGGGGAGCCGGAGAAGGGTCGCGAGGTAGGTGGCGATGAGGGTCGCAAGGTAGGTGGCGCTGAGGGAGGGGCGCGTTCTATGAGTGAAGACGCCTCTCTTGTTTTCCGACCTGGCTCTCCGTCGGCTATATCGAATGTGTTGCGGCGTGAATCCTCCCAAGGCGGGGAGGCTGAGGGACGATGGGTAGAGAGACCTGGTGGTTCTCCCTCGGATTGTCCGCGTGGGGGTAGGGCCGCAGGGTCTGCTATGCAGGGAAGGGGCAGGGGAACTCGTAGGGGGGATGGGCAGTCGAGAGATATCAGGGAATATTTCTAGTGGTGGCTCAGCATTCAAAGTCGGGCTGGGACCATGGACTTGGCTCAGCAGCGTGAGCTCTCCGATGTCCGAGCGGAGACTGTGGGTGGGGGTGGTTGTGCTCGGTGTGAGTTTAGAGCTACTGTTACATGTCGAAAATGAGCTTGTCTTTCTGTTGTGTTAATGTACGGGGTATACGTCAGGCCGAAAAGAGAAGGGATGTCTTCAATTACCTCAGACGCCTCGACTGTGCTGTGTATGGGTTAGTGGACACACATCTGACGACTGAAATGGAGTCAATGGTCCGATCGGAGTGGGGAGGAGAAATATATATGAGTTGCGGAACAACTAACGCTAGAGGAGTGACTGTCTTAGTTCGAACTGGGGCACCTGTATTAGTTCATAGTTGGGAGGTGGATGATCACGGTAATTATGTGATAATGGATGTAGAATGTGATGGATACTTCCGAAGCAAGTTTGTTGTGATATATGGGCCAAATAGTGATTGTCCGATGTTTTTTGAAGACTTGTTTGAGAGAGTATTCAATGCTTCACAAATATGTCCTGTTATTCTCGTTGGAGACTGGAACTTCGTATTAGATCCGGAAAAAGATACGAAGTTTTACCGGAGCATTAGTAACACAAGGGCGAGAGAGGTTGTTCTGAATGCAATTGAAAACGAAAATCTGGTGGATGTATGGCGGGAACAGCATAGTAATAGCAGACAATTTACATGGAGAAGAACGAATCCTGTAAAATTCTCCAGATTATATTTTTTCCTTGTGTCTGCTGATTTACTCGGTTTCATTTCTTCGGCAGATATTCTCAGTGGTTATAGAACTGATCACAGTATAGTTTCGTTGAAGTTTAAAAAGGCTTTTAGGGCTAAAAGGAAGATGTTTTGGAAATTTAACAACAGTTATATTGAGGATGAAGCTTTTGTTGGGTTAATCAAGAGAGAAATACGAAAAATGAAGGATCAATATGTGATACCGGTATATTCTAGTGAAACTATAGGAAGTTGTGGGGATATTCAGTTCACTATCAGTGATCAGCTATTCTTTGAAACCATGATGTGCCACTTAAGGGGTATATGTGTACAGTATGGGAGCAGAAAGAAAAGAGCTTCGGAGAGGCAGGAAAATGAACTAATAGCTAGAATACAGCAGCTGGAAGACTTAGCCACGTCAGATGAAAACGTAGCGAAAGAGCTAGCAAAATGTAAAGAGGAACTCCATCTCAGACGTAGGGATATAATGAAAGGCGTACTAGTAAGAGCAAGGGGTAGGTGGATTGAGGAAGGTGAGCGGCCAACTCGATACTTCTGCGGCATGGAGAAACGTCAGTATACAAAGAAGTACATAGGTTGCTTAGAAATAGGAGAAAAAACTGTCAGGGACCAAGATGAAATCATGACATGTTTGTACGATCACTTTAAAGGTGTGTTTCATTTAAGTGAGAGGACAAAAACGCTAGATGATATAAAACACTTACTAGGTGATGCATTTCCTACGCTAAATAGCGAAGAAAAGTTGAGTTTAGAAGGCCCTCTGACTGTGCAGGAAGCCAGCCTAGCATTGGAAAAGCTGAATAATGATAAGTCTCCAGGGCCTGATGGTTTTTCAAAGCTTTTCTTTAAGACTTTCTGGAATGAACTGGGAAGTTTTTTAGTTCGGTCATTGAACGAAGGTTTTGTAAAAGGCTCTCTATCGGTAACACAAAGACAAGGTACGATTGTGCTTGTGCCAAAGACAGGGAAGCCTAAAGAAAAAATAGCAAACTGGAGGCCTATCTCGCTGTTGAATACTACGCAAAAGATTTTGTCAGCAGCGATAGCTAATCGCTTACGGAAGGTTCGTGTGCCGCGTGTAATCGCTTACTTATTTCGATGTGCCAAAAAGGTTTTATAAAAAACAGGTTCATAGGAGAATGCATCAGAACAATTTATGACATTGTTTGGGATGTAAAGTATAGGGAAAAAAGAAAAAAGGGCCTAATTGTGTTTGCTGATTTCAAAGGGGCCTTTGATTCCTTGAATCATGAGTTTCTCTACGAAGTGCTCAAGATGTTTAATTTTGGCGAAGACTTTACTAAATGGGTTAGGGTTATGTTGAGAGATGCTTCTTCTTGCCTAGCACAAAATAAAACTACAACGGAGTTTTTCCCAATAAAGCAAGGTTGCAGACAGGGTGATTGTTGCTCGCCATTGCTCTTCATTCTGTGTGTTGAAGTGTTGAGCATAGCCATTCGAAACAATCCTCAAGTTGTAGGATATAAAGTCAACGAGTCTGATATGAAAATTCAGCAGTTCGCAGACGATTGTACCTTTTTACTAGATGGTACGCAAGCAAGCTTCGATAGTTGCATGACAATAATTACAGAGTTTAGCAAAGCGTCAGGTTTAACATTAAATGTGCAGAAAACACAGTTACTTTGGATTGGACAAGAAGCGATGCCGGCATATGTAGCTAGCTCAAACTTCGATATTATAAACGGTAACTTCAAGTATCTAGGCATAATTTTTACGCAGAATCTGTTAGATATGGGAGAGGTGAATTTTGAAGCAAAATCGATTGATGTCAGGAATCTTCTTAGAGGATGGATGAAACGGAGGTTAACGGTATATGGCAAACGGATAGTTCTTAAAAATCTAGCATTGTCAAAGCTGACCAATACATTAATGATGCTACCATGCCCTCCTGAGAGCTCCATTTATGGGTTGCAGAGAAGTTTTTTTGAGTTCGTGTGGAACAAGGGTCCTGATAAGATCAAGCGACGCTTTATGATGCGGGACTTTGATATCCCATGTTTGAAAACATATAATGATTCTTTGAAAATTTCCTGGATGAAAAGATATGTATGCTCGGAAGATGCTTGGAAGTTTTTAGCAGAAATGCAGCTATGTAAAAATGATATTATTTTCTCGTGTGGTGATGCAAGCTTCTCGAAAGCTGTAGGTTCGGTTTCAGATGGTATCAATCCGTTCTGGCGGGAGGTTTTTAGTAAATGGGATGCCTTCAAAAAGTGTTTTGAAGTCTTACCGGAAAATGTTAAGACGCAACCTTTGTTTTTGTCCTCCTTCTTCAAGCGTAATCACAAAGTTAAATGGAATGGCCGTCTATACAGAGCTGGTTGTACCAATGTAGGTGACATTTGGACGGATGAAAGAAGGTTTATGAATATTGCTGAAATAAACAACACTTATGGCTTGCGTCTCCAACAGCTTGAATTCGCGGGCATTGTTAGAGTAATAAGGACAGCATATACGGGGGAGTTGCCACCTCATGACATTGGACCTAAAATGCAGCCAGCATTGGCAACTCTCTTAGGATGTAAGGGAGGATGTAGGATATACTATAAGACAATGCTACAGCATAAGTACTTTAAAACACGGGATGGTTTAAAATCACAAATAAAATGGAATAACGATCTACAGTGTCAGCTAGAATGGGACCTCATTTACAACAGATTTGCGAGCTGTACTAAAAATACTACTCTTAGATGGTTCCAGGATAGATTAGTACACAGAATATTAACGACAAACGTTTTCGTGTCAAAATTCACTGAAGAAAGTCCATTGTGTACATTCTGCAATGCAGATAGAGAGACGCTTCTGCATCTTTTTGCTGAGTGCGAACAGGTTCAATGTGTTTGGAGAGCAATGGTGGGCAGGGTCAGGGAGCGTTTGCATTACAATGTTGTTCTAAGCAAACGTGCAATAATTGTTGGATTCGAGGAAAATGAGACATTTCATATGGCTGATGCTGCAGCTGCTATTCAGAGACTTTTTTTGCTAGGGAAATATTATATTTACAGAACAAAAGTGGCACAATATGGTATAGGAATAGTTGATATGTTTTCATTCTGTGATTTTATGACGAGGGCAGAGTTTGGTAATATGCGAGTGGGCATGACCGATACAGAAAAGAAGAAGGTAGAGGTGCATCAAAAACTTTGTCTCATTAGCTACACATCTTACGAACAGGGACAACGAGCGTAATAACAGGACATATAGGGCGGGCGAGGTTCGGACGCTGAGATGTCGCCAGATTTTCACCCCGCCCGTTCCCATCCGTGACCGGCCCTGAGGTTTTACCTGGGACCGGTCCGCTGGCCGGGTGTGCGACAGGTGTCCGGTTCTGTGTACTGTGTGTACTGCTATGTGATTGTCAGTTATGTAAATAAATTTGTGAGGAAAAAAAATCATGAGCTCTGGTAGCCTGTGATTCTCTCACCGTGATATATAATTGGGACGTCCTCTGACTGTGACGTATGGCTGTGATCTCTGTATCCTCTAACTGTAACCTCTAAATGTGACATCTAACCGTGACTTCTGACCGCTACCCCTAATTGTTACCCTCACTGTGACCCCTGTCAACTCTAACTGTGACCCCCACCCGCCGCCGTCAGGTGGAGGCTCTGGCCGTCGAGTGCACCCTATCGGAGGTGAAGCCCACCCAGGCCATGCTGGGACGATGGGACGCCCGAGCCGTCGAGACCTTCAAACACATGGCCCTGGAGCAGATGGTGATGGGCATCGTCTACTCGGTGAGTGGCTAGTGAACTCAGGAAACTATTAGCACCGATCGATGCGCATAAAATCATCGATATGTGGGACGAGAAATCGCCTGGCCATCTTAAATGTAACGTCGAGGTCTGATTGGCAATGTATTTGTGGCATGTTTCGTACAATGCAGCCCATGAGTTGCGACAAGTTACCACTCTGAGACTCTCCATGTTTTGGACCCGTGCCTACACCATTCGTGGTAGATCGTCAATACCTACCTGCTCACTCCCCCGCCCGACCCTGTACACAGCGTACCTACTTACTATGTGATCTCATCATATTGTGCAAACCCTCCACCACCTCATAACTCTGCCCTCTGCTGCTTGTCCCCAGGTGGTGCACGGCGTCATCCACATTGACCTGGTGCGTCAGGTGCGGCTCGGCCACAATGTGGTCGAGCGCAGCATCAACAAGGAACTGGTGGAGCTGGGGTTGGCCGAGGACGCTGTGGAGGGCCACTACTCGCGACAGAACCACGAGCAGAGGCTGTCCTCGTACGTACCGGAACGGCGCTGAAATCGCTGTACAGACTGGCTGGCGTTTTGTTCGGGATTAAGTTTTGGATCAACATTTACCAGGATAATTCTGTCTGCTTTGTTAATTTCACGTGTTTTTTTTTTCCTACCTGAAACCATCAAATGAATTTACAAAAGTTTGATTGATTCACAGTTATATGAATGGACGGAGGAATTAGGGTTCTTTGAGACGTTTTATGGCCACGAACTGCGCTCCCATTCCATCCTTGGTTCATGGCCCTCCTGATCTCTTCCACCCTCTGTCTGGGAAGGTTCTGCGTACAGGGCAGATTGCCGCACTGACGCATCCTGTCTTGCTTCAGGCAGGGTCCACGTAGAGGGCCACCCGTCGCTCAAACCCCTTTCCTCTGTCGAAGCAGGTTTTTTGACCCCCTCTCTCCTTCCAGGTTCCGCGTAGAAGGCTGACCGCCGCACCTGACCCCTCTCCTCTGTCTGTACACGTACAGGCTCCCTGCTCCCTCGTATATGTCTGAATGAGTATTCCTTCCGCTCCTCTGTCCAGGTTGGATGGCCGCCCGCCGCACTAACCCTTCCCGTCTGGCATGTGCGTTACTGACCTCTCCCCCTGTCTCTTTATTCAGGTTCCGCGTGGATGGCCGTCTGGAGGAGTGGCAGGAGCGGCCGGTGGCCGCCGACCCCGAGCTGACCGGCTGGCTCAAACAGCAGCAGGCCGGCTACGACCGGCAGGTGCTGCGCGGGCCAGACTCGCCGCTCACAATGACGCTCACCGGACTGCCCAAGGCGCTGCAGACCCGGCCGGCGTTCGTCGACACCGACTCGTGCAACTCGGTGCTGCTCGACACGGAGCCGCAGAACCCGTTCGATCGGCTCATGGTGGCCGCGCAGGTGCGTCTGATGTGCGTACTCCGCGACTTTTGGAATCGTGGTCTCCCTCTGTCCTCTTTCTTTCGATTGTAATAGTTAGTATTAACCGGCTACTAATTCACTTTTATGAGCCAGATATAGTGTATATTCAGTCACACTTGTCCGTCTTTATCGAATGTTAAAATACTTTCTCGATCAGCTGTTTGGTAACACATACTTCTTTTTCTTTTACCCCTTCGTTCGTCTCTCTTTCTGACCCCTCAACTCAATATCATCACCGTCCCTTCAACTAACTCTCTCCCCCCCCCCCCCCAGATGGTCCCGACGAGTGACGGAGCGCGGGTGCGCGCCCAGAACACGGCCATGATGCCCAACATCCCGGGTCTGCCAACGCTGCTGGTGCTGCTGTTCGCTCCGGTGGTCGAGCTGCGAACCAACGAGGAGCGCACGGCGCTGGCCGGGGCTGTGTGCGGGCTGGGCGGGCACCCGGAGTCCGCACAGGCCGTATACCCCGACCACGATATCGAAATGTCGTTCGATGTGGCCATTACCACCAGAGATCTGCTGGATGTGAGTGGGACGGGGGAGGGGAAAAAGCGCTGGGTGGGGAATCTGGGAGAAGAGAGGGAGAGAAGAGTGATGGAGAGAAGGAGGGTCTAAGAGCTTTTGATGGGGTTGGGTGGTGTAGTGATGGGATGGGGTTTAGGTAACGTAAAGCTGTTGTGGTGTGATGATAAATGGTGGTCGCAGAATTTAATCACGTTAAATAATTTGCTACCCTCGGATACCAAGGAGCTTAGATATCGTCAAGGTTAACCTCCGATCATGTATCTATTTTACTCACTGGTCTTACAAAATACAAACAGCCAAACATCAAATTGATACAGCCTTCCCAGAAACGACTTTATTTATGATGTCTTTGTACGCAATTAATGCTGTACTTCCTCCTATCCTAGATTCTCTTACCTCAGACTGTCCGACAGTGACTGGACTGGCAATGTTTGGTAACTGTGCTATTTCTAGTCACCCTGTCACCCTCCTCCCCCTCACCCCAGGTGAACGTGCTGCGCACCTCCTTCTGGATCGTGTACGGCTGCGTGGACGACGAGGCCGCTGAGCCGCAGAGACTGCGCGAGTCAGATCGCTCGGCCGCCGAGAAACAGCTCAGTCGCCGCCGCCGGCTGCTAGCGCTGCTCGAGAGGCGCCGGGAGTCGCGCGTGGAGCGTCGCCGGCCGTACCGCGCTGCCTACCGCTGGAACCGGCTGCCCGCCGGAGAGAGGCTGCAGGTGAGGGGAGCAGGGAGAGATGTAGGCAGTGGCTGATAGAGTGTATCCAACCAGACAGCTAACCAACGTTTTTGCAGGATGAAATTGGGAATTGCCTGGATTATCTGTTGTTGCATCAGCTCAGTGTTTTTACCGATGACATTAAGTCTGGATGTATACATTAGTGATGTCAGTTACAGAAAATCGTGATACCGATACCAAACCAAATAGGTACCAAATATAACCGTAGGAAAATACCAAAACCAAACCAACTTCAGAAACTGAGGGAAATACCAACTTTTTACCGAATTCACAGCCTCTTTTACATTAGCGACGATTCACAATACCAACAAAATGCCAAATGCATTAGCCTTGAAACACCAAATACCAAGTTGGAATCGGTTTGGAATCGGTATACCAAAAAGTTGGTATTTGATTGACATCTCTATAGTCTGTTCCATTCCAAGTTTGCAGCCGAAGCGCCGCACTCATAACAGCACGTGAACAACGCTAGTGCAACTTTTTATGCAAATGCGCCAACGGATTGGAAAGCTGCGCATTTGAGACTTGATTTGACGCTCTTCAACAGTCACAATGTCGTCAATTTTGTCGGCTATTATATTATCAATTAATATGTACTTAATTGTTAATATGTAAATTTTGTATTTAATATTTATTCTTTTCAAAATGTTCTAAAATCAGTACGCACTTCAGGGCGGTGCGGTCACCAGATAGCAAACAAGTCGGACAGGCACACAGGCACACGATGTGCTCGTATTTTTCCGCAAGAAGTGGAGGCGACGGGCGTCTGAAAATTGGCCTAGGTGCAAAGTCCGCCTAGGTATTGCCGTCGCCTATGCGCCACCGGACCGGAGCAGCGGAGCAATCAGAAAAAAAAAATATTGAGATGGTGATGACATCTCCAAGAGAGCTGATAACCCGAGGTCGGTCTGCGGACGGATTGCAAGAAAACAAAAGCGGATGAAATAAAAATATAAGCACTAAATATTGTTAGTGGTGTGCTGTTTATGGCAAAGTGTTCAAACGACCTGATCTATCATAGCCGTAAACGAAATAAAAATGTTTACGACAAGCAGAGGCTAGCACGTAATACGACTGGATTGGCAGATTTTAATGCTGCTCGACAGGATGATGCCTTGCGAGATCACTTTTTTGTTCAAATATACCGTTTCAATTTTGTTTTGCGTTTCAGGGTTAACACAAAATACGGAAAACGTTGGGCAGGGCACACGTGTCTTCAAAATATTCTGGGGTAAGGCCCTGTAAATATCGCCGGGTATTTTCGCCGCAGGAACTCCGCAAAAGTCCTTGATTTTTCATTGCTCCCCACGTGCGAATGGCGGGCAGCGCTTCGGCTGCAAACTTGGAATGGAACAGACTATAGTATACATTTCTTGCGTGTTTGTCTGTGACGATTCTGTTCAGTGTTTGACGCTCCGTGGCGTACCCACACACCTCAATCCCCGACTCCCTTCCCGTCTTACAGGTGCGTCAACGATCTCTGACTCACCACTGCATCCTCTTCCCCATCTTACAGGTTCGCCTGGGCGACGAGCCGGTGGACCCGCGTCTGCAGCCGTTCCTGGTCAGCCCTGTCCGCTCTGTGAACCGGGCCGAGCGGCTGCACATGCGCAGCCGCGTCCTGGAGCTGTTCAGCAAGGCGCGAGACAGTCAGGAGGCCGAGCCCCACTACTGTCCACTGTGCGACGTCACGGTACCCACCCCGCTGGCGTTGTTCCGCCACATCAACCGCGAGGACCACCGGGAGCGAGCGGCCGACCTCTACCGCGACTGTGAGGACGGCGACGACGACGACGAGTAGAGAGCTGATAGAAAGACAAGAGGAGGAAGAGGAGTAGAGAACAGAGAGGGTGGATAGCGAAGGAAGAAAGAGAAGAGATCAGTGCCTTAATCTTGAGGTAAAACCATTGCTGGTACCAGCGGCTTGGTTGGTACCTTATTCTGTGAGAAATGGTGCAGTGCTGCCGCTAGACCAGTGGATTCCGTGAGCTTACGAGTTGAGTTGGTCAGTTTGTCTAAGCCAAGAGTCTGTGGGTCGCTGACGTGCACAGGGTCAGTAACCAGACGTTCCTACGATATCACCATAGAGGTTTATTTTAGTTTTACATTAAGGAGAGCTGCTGGGTTGGCCATACGTTTACGCCAGTGCATCGATGTTATGGAGGTCGGTGTGTACTCTTTTGATGGTCAGCGTTTGGTGTGTTCCTTGCACATGCCCAAAACTGTACCTGACATGTGACAGATTTGTATCAAGATTGTGATACTTGTCTTTCCATTCTAATACAAAAGTGACTGGTGACTCGACATGACAAAAGTGAAATGTGACCGAGCTAAATTAGAGCTCGGCAAAGAGCCCCAGTGCTTCGAAATGTGTTCTGGGCCTCAATGTGCGCAATGTTCACCACTGTACGAGCGTTTGACCGCTGAACCATCCGATGATAATTCATCTTCAAGTGTTGTATTCATTTAGTTGAACCTTATGTAAAAATGTTTTGAGTTCATGTTTTGGTTAGTATAGTAGTTTTCTCTGATTTTCGAGTTGTATTCGCTGGTCCTCGTGTGACTTAAGTTTGTGCTTCTACAGTCTCAATCGAGTTACTTTTGGTGTATTTTCTAGTTTCTCATCGTGATCACACCAGCAGACTGGGGCTCGGCTGCAGGCGGAATAGCGGCAAACATCATCCATCATGATTACGGTTGACATGTACATTTTGATAGTTGATGATTGATCCGGCAAGCTAGAAGCGGTCTTCGCAGACTGATGGTGCAATGTTCAGCTCAGAGAACATGATCGTGTGAAACCTAGATGACCAATGCGCTCGACGTGTTGGTGAAAATACAGGGCACGTATATGTGAACGTTACCAAAAACTCAAAATGTTTTGTTTTCAAGCTGTGCTGCATCCAGCTTCAAACGGCATTACTTAGGACGACGCGCTATACCTAAGCTATGGAATATTCACAGTCATTTTCAGTTCTTTATTCCAGCACTTGGTACTGATGTCTGATAAGAGCCGTCACGGTCTCGCTCAGGCTTGGGTGTGCAGGTGTAAGTAAAGCCTGCGAGCGGAACGGCATGCAGGCCTAGATACGCAATTACTAGATATGGATTGCATTAGAATATCGTTACGATGAAAGTTGGCGTGGAATGCGCGTATACTTTTGTTTCTTGTCGCACAAGTTTGGTGTCATTTGCAGCAACACCTGAATGTTTGATCAACATAAGAAGAGATAACATGGATTAGGTATCTCTTATCCATTATTCGAGCAATAAGTGTGACATGCTGCTAAATAATTAAATGCATTTTAACGGTTGATTCCTCTTCCGTGGGTGCCAATTATAAACTCCTATAGCCCCGGCCATGCGTGTTCATCTGGATTGTCACTCGAAGGATTTTATGCAGCAAAGTTGTTTTCATTGCAGTAATTTAATCCTAAATGAGAAGTCATTTCTGGCGCGCATGTAAGGCATTACGGCGCATTGTTTATTGCATGTCACCCCGCGCTCTCGCCTTGGTTTTGGGGGCGACGATAGATACATAATAAATATTTAACAATTTGGAGTGTTGATTGGAGTAATTTAAGGGAGCCTCCCGTTCATTACCAATATGGAGTGTCTAATGGGAATTGCGTTTAATGACTTTGTTCTCCTTGCGGCCGATCGAACCTGTTCGGCTCATGGCATCCTTGTGGTGAAGCCGGGTAAGAATTTTATTTTTTACATTTCTCGTTAAATGACTAGATAAGAAAACACCTCCAGTTTAGTGAAAAATTGAAAACAGATGTTATTCTTATATTCGGGAAAAGTGATGATGAAGAGTGGAGTGATACATCACGTTTAGTGGAGTGATGAATCCACACTCCAATGCAATGATAGTGGATACCACACCTCGGCTCATTTGCCATTTTTTTTGTAAGCAGCTTGCCAGTATTTTCGACTTCACATTGCTCTAATTCATCAAATTCATGTGGTCTTGGAGGTTCACCATTGAAAGGCCATGAAACACCAATGAAACTATTTATTGGATTTTTTTTTAGAAATATCAGCATGCTAACAAAAAATGATGCTGAACAGAGTTCTGCCTGAAGGCATGGAGCGTTTATGGGCTCTTTCTAAGCATGTTCCAGTCACTGTTTTCATTGACCAATTTTATTGTTGCTGTAGGATTAAGGATAGGTATGAAGCCACATTTGACAAGCAATAGTCAGATATTAATATTACCTCAGATTACTGAAGTTCATAAGTCAGGTAGGTAGGTACCTACCTACCTACCATTCATTTGTTGATAAAATATGATCTATAAATAAGAAATATCCTCTGTTAGTACAATAATATTTTTGATGCTTCTCAGATGATGACAAGACATTCAAGCTGGCAGACAACCTGGTGATGGCTGTCAGTGGGGAGCCTGGAGACACAGTCCAGTTTGCTGAGTATATCGCCAAGAATATTCAGCTCTACAAGATGCGAAATGGGTGAGCACCCATCTAACTGTCTTATGAGTAAAATATTTTGTACTTGTTTCAGCAATTCTTTAGCTTGCCTTAATTGATCAGCATTTCTCCATATCTGCACTTTGCCTGTTTCATCATATTTTTTTTAGGATTATTCATACTTTTGTGCAACAGTCTTGTTTCTTTACCTACATATTGACCATCCATCCCACTGTTTAAGGATCATCACTACTTGTTTTTCCTGTTGTTCATGTAGGGTGCCACTATCCTCATATTAGCCCTACCAGTGGCATCCACTTTTATTCACTTATCGCTCACATTGCCGTCAGTTACGAGCTGTCTCCGTCGGAGGCTGCCCACTACACGCGCCGTACGCTGGCGGAGTACCTGCGCTCGCGGTCCCCGTACCAGTGTAACCTGCTGCTGGCCGGCCACACGGCCGACGCCGGGCCAGAGCTCTACTTCATGGACTACCTGGGCAGCTGCTCGCGGCTGCCGTACGCCGCCCACGGCTACGGAGGCCTCTTCTCGCTGTCCGTTATGGACCGGTACTACAAGGCCGGTGAGTTGTGGTGGGGATAGGGGCCTGGGGGTAGGTGGAGAGCGCAGAGATGAGGAAAAGGTCGAAGGAGCCACGATCAGCTGGGAAGGTCACGAACATTTCGGGCAACGCACCGTCTGTTGAAAGCGTGTAATTGGCGTTGTGCAGGTTCGATATGTCGATATGAAATGTGAAGTTACGATGTGGAGTGTGAAGTGAAGCCCGTCCCGGTGCAGTGAATCGAAAAGTCAAGGTTCAATGGTAATCGAATGGACCTGGTTTGTGCTGCTGCACTCGATTTGCCTTTTTCTGTTTCTGAGGTAGTTCGCTATTGTAATATGGAGCAGAATGTTCTCTATCAATAAAACCTATGTTATTTGCCTCACACTGCCGAATCTGAAATGTAAATTAGCCGACCATTTGTGTATCGTCATAACTCCCGATGTTCCTGAAAACCTCTGTTCTGAGTGTGTAGTCGACCGTCATGTATGTGAAAACCTGCGTGTACTGAAGTTCCGTTTTCTGCCGGCAGATGCCACCCTGGAGGAGGCGCTCGACATCATGCAGAAGTGCGTGGCCGAGATCCAGACGCGACTCATCGTAAACCTGCCCAACTTCCAGGTGTTGGTGGTTAACAAGGACGGCGTCAAACACCTGGACGACATCACCGTACACTCGCTCAAACAGCGGCCCGTCATGGGCTGATGGAACCGTCGGCCGGTAATCTGACAGAGCTCTGGTGTGGGCTCCTTCACACGCGGTACGAACTAGGCGAGATTCCTTGTCCTGGCGCCGGTCTGTGTCAGAGGACGTACCACCGCAGCTGGTTGCGTGGACGGCACTTCTGTCACAGTGTACTGGAAGTGATTTCGGTCAGAACGCTCCCATTGAATGGCCACGTGGCGTCATGTTCTCAGACTATGGTGATGTAATACACGCTGTTCACACGCTCGTGGATGATGGTGTCCGTATGGTTCAATCAGGGATACTGTCGTTGATAGGCACCGCGATCGGTTCCGGCGGCCGATATTCATCGTAGCATGGCATCGATGCCTAAAGAGCAAGTTGCTCGACCACCACTTCCAAAATATCCATCAACATTTCATTCCACACCAGTATGTTGAAGCTACCCCTTCAGTCGGTTCAATATTGATCTAATGGCTTGAGACCCATCCCATGTGCGTTTTACCCCCATTGTCTTCTTTTTCAAACACCGTCAGATCAGTCCGATCTCTCAGAGATTGTCATGTTTATTGCGCGGTAGCTAGAAAGAACGAGCGACGCCCAGCCGTCTTGTGCATTCCTCAACCAACGCAGAGTAAAAATTAACACAGTCTCAGTCATGGGACCGATACCGAACAACCAGTAGCCAACCACCCAATCTACGCGACCCTGTATATAGCATCAACTCAGCCGATTTCGAGCTCTCGCGACAACTCTTTGGTGACGCCTCACATAGCGAGAATTTATGAGTATCAGTCAACATTGCATAAAATTCAACTGAGTTATATGTATCGTGCGTTCGACGCCATAGATAGACTCCTACCTAACACCGAACGATAACAACCGGCACCTATAGGGTGGGGGGGGGGGGGACAGGGCGATACGACTATATGTCCCACTCGCAGGGAAATCCACTCTGGCAGCGGTAAAGGGGCGGGGGCAGTAAACACCGCCCTTTGTTCTGCCTGTAGCGCCTACAGGCGGTGGGCGCTACGGTACTTTGTTCTGCAGGGACGTCTACATGTTGGCCTTGATGAAGTTAATGACGCCGTTGGTGCTGCTGTCGTGGCTGCTGACCGGGTTTCTGTCGTTGAGCTCCGGCTCCACGGCCTTGGCCAGCTGCTTGCCCAGCTCGACACCCCACTGGTCGAACGAGTTGATGTCCCAGATGACGCCCTGGGTGAATATCTTCATCTCGTACATCACTGCAGCGGGGGAGAGAGAAGACGATAGTCACACGGGTGATGGAAGAAAAACAGCAGGACTGGAGCGCCCTCATTGATCGGCGTAGTCTACAAGATAGAACCAGTTTCTTGGGGCCCTGCGATGTCAGGGAGGCCCTCATTTGGAAGCTTTTCAATCTGCCTGTTCACGAAAATGGGTCATGTATGGGTCAATGAAATGGGACAGCCGGCTTCCCACTACATAGTCGCCGCGTGTTAGACGATAATCTGGAGCAAAGCACCAAAAACAAACACATTGTCAAGAACACTCGATCACCGTCTACCGATACACCATATCACTCCTTCGGCCCTCCCCCTCTCCGCCCCCCTCTCCCCACTCACCAATCAGCGCGCCGAGTACAAACGGCGACACCTTTTTCACGGCCACCGTGTTAGTGGGCCGGTTGCCCTGGAACACCTTGTGCGGAAGAATGCGCGCCAGCTGATCGGCCGGAGTGCCGGCCGCCTCGAGCTCCGCGCGCGCCACAGCCTCCGACTTGCCCTTCAGCAGCGCCTCAGTCTGCGCCACGAAATTGGCCAGCAGAATCCTGAGAGAGGGACACGGCGGTCAAACACCAGACAGAGAAGCATCATGCAACGGGCGGCAGCGGGATGTGACAAAATACAGCAACATCGGGAGCAGTGAGACCAATGGATAACAATATGAGAGCATTGGAAAATGTAATAAACAACGTCCTGTATTTATTATTATTTTGTTGTTAACTACAGCCGGCCCTTTGAAGAGCTGCACCCCGGTACTTGTGTTTTCTACTACTGGGACAGCTTATACGGCTTACTTGTGGTGTTTTCCGCCGCTGATGGGGTTGTGCGTGTTGACGGGCGCGATGAAGTCAGCCGGGATCAGCCGGGTGCCCTGGTGGATCAGCTGGTAGAAGGCGTGCTGGCCGTTCGTGCCCGGCTCGCCCCACACGATCGGGCCGGTCGAGTAGTCGACGGTGGCGCCGCTGCGCGTCACGTACCTGAACCACACGGGGAGTGATCGTCAAAGGCGGGCATACGGGACAGTGGCATAGCAGTCAAGGCAGTCATGGGGCGCCCAGGAGGGCGGAGACGGTGGACATTGAACCAGCGGATAGTCGCTAGTCATTCACCGTTATCGTGATTGAACGGCAAGTAGTTGGTAAATTAATCGATGGATGTCTGAGATAAAGCTCAAGCCGATTACAATATCACTTACACATGAATGCTAGATAGTTACATAAAAAGAAACATTAACCCAAACATCATTGAAGTCACCCAAAAAGAAATAACGCAATACTAAACACGAGAACTTTCCCGCCCTAGCTCTGAAACAACACAAGCTTGAGCGTTTCCGCCTTACCGCCACATCCCTCCCCTCCAGCTGCCTTGAGTACTGACTTTCCGTTGGACTCCATGTCTCCCTGCTGGAAGTAGGCGGCGAACCGGTGCAGGTACTGGTCGTACGGGAGCAGCGCGTGCGTCTCGGCGCCGAACAGATTGTGGTACCACACGCCCAGAACGGCCAGGATCACCGGCAGCTGTGGGGAGGGGGAGGAGGGGTGTCAGAACCAATGGCAGCGGACGGTAGCGGGTGGAAGGGGTGTTAGGAGTTAGGACAGTGCCAGAACCATCGGCAGCCGAGGTTAAGTGTCAATACTGTTGTCAAGACAAGCGGCTGCTGTTGGGGAGTGTCAGGAGCAACGGCAGCTGAGGACAGCAGCTTTCGTCATGTGCTGTCTGCAGAGAAGAGATAGGAGAGTAAAGACAAGAGCAGCAACGCGTAAATCAGAGAATGACGTGCTAGCTAGCATAGTATAACCACCACAAAGGACGCACAACGTCAAGGATATATCAATGGCATCCACATTTACCTTACCATAGCAGCGTACGCGGTAAAAATTCCAACGTTTGCCTAAGCGCCCTCAGCTCGGGAGATTTCGCCCTCACCCCGCTACTGGTGGCAACTCACGTTTTGTTCGAGCGGCGCCGTGCGGAAGTGGTTGTCCATGAAGTGCGCGCCGTCCAGCAGGCGCTCGAAGTTGTCAAATCCGACGTGCAGCGCGATCGACAGCCCAATGGCCGACCAGAGAGAGTAGCGGCCGCCCACCCAGTCCCAGAAGCCGAACATGTTGCGCTCGTCGATGCCGAACTCCTTCACCTTGGTGGCGTTGGTAGAGAGCGCCACGAAGTGCTTCGCCACCATGGCCGCCTGGAGAGAGGGCAATCATGGAGTTAGTGGGACCAGGGAACGGTCATGCCGCTAAAAAAAAAACATTAAAATGGATTTTTTTTGTCTGCTCGTAAAATGATTCCTGCATAGCGCGGTAAGGTAAGTATGGTAAAAGTTAATTTCAAATATTGTGAGAAGTATCTATGGCAATTTTAGACCACGAAGGACGCATCAATGTGCTAATAACTCACGTCCTTGGCGTGCGAGAGGAACCACTCCTTGGCCGAGGTGGCATTGGTGATGGTCTCCTGCGTGGTGAACGTCTTCGAGGCGATGATGAACAGCGTCGTCTCCGCGTTCAGCCCCTTCAGCGTCTTGGCCAGGTGGGTGCCGTCGATGTTGGAGACGAAGTGGACGTTGGGGCCGGCCTGGTACGGTTTCAGCGCCTCGGTGACCATCAGGGGGCCGAGGTCGGAGCCGCCGATACCGATGTTGACCACGTCGGTGATGGCCTTCCCCGTGTAGCCGTTCCAGCTACCTGAGATCACCTGAGGTAGAAGGGAGAATGGGGAAGACGTGAGTCAGACTACTGTACCTGTAGATCGAGTCACTTATCACACAGCAGTCCATACCCCGACATATACCCCCTCCCCCCGGCCCCCGCACACACACACACACACCTAAATCCCACTCCAAGCTTCCTGTGTTGGTCGTGACAACTAGTAATTACTCTCCTCGGGTTCCTAGTCGTGGTCCTGGGAGGATCATGGATCCTCGATTCACCTGTCCCGCACCTGTCCGCAGAACTCCTTCATGTGCTGCAGCACTCCGTTGACGTCAGGCATCACGTCCTTTCCGTCGACCATGATTGGCGAGTTGCTGCGGTTGCGAAGCGCGATGTGCAACACGGCACGGTCCTCGGTGAAATTGATCTTCTGGCCGGAGAACATGGCATCCCGAGCGGCCTCGACCTTACGAGCGCGCGCCTGGCGACAGCGAGAGATGGGGTGATAGGTGACTGGTAGTACGGTGTGTAAGTGTAACATCACGGCTGATCAGGATGTGGAGAAAACGAAATGGCAGGGACGGGAAGTTCGGATGACTGGGCGATCGTGGATGCGAGTATCGAGCTAATACTGTCGCCTGACCCTACCTGTCGAGAATTTCCAGAAGATTTTCGAAGAGTTCGAGGAGAGTTAACAGAGCCGCAGAGGAAACTAACAAAACTAATACCGTTGAACACTGTCTAACATTTTACTATATTATCAACACGTGCGATCAATCATAACTTTGCCTGTATTTTGTATGGAATTGCGACCATGGCTGTGGACTCCCAACCCGTGCTTGTTCTATCCTCTAAATTCCAAACATTATCAATAAACATGACTGCACTTCCCGCCAGCCAACCAGGTTTGGAAGCGGCCGCACGACCCCGGCACTCACCAGGTCCAGAAGGGCCTTGAAGATGTCGTCATTGATGCGGTTCTTGGAGAAGTCCAGCAGAATGTCGCCGCTGTTCGGAGTCGGCAGCTTGACGCTGAAAAGGGGCGAAACATGACTCAATTGTATGGAACTAACACCGAAAGTGGATGGGTGCAGCCACACACGTGTTTGGGAGGATTTGCAAAGAAATGTCTCAGCAGCCCAAAATGAATGAATAATAACAGCTTGCAGTCCAAGCCCGAAACGAATGAATAACCAGTATAGCGCCTTTTGGGGCGACTAACGGAGCGAGCGAGGGGGTGAGTCTTGCACGTGCGAAATTTCGAGGGGGTACCTCCAACTGACTTGTGCACGGCACCCTACTGACCGGTTTCTAGCGATGTGCCAAATTTGAGCACAATCGGCCCAGCCGTTCTCGAGATCTGGGAGCGTCACCCTGCACGTGCGCACGTGCGAAATGGGCCCCAACTGACTTGTGCACGGCACCCTACTAACCGATCCCTAACTGTGTACCAAATTTGAGCGCAATCGGTCGAGCCGTTCTCGAGATCTGGAAACGACCCCTGCACGTGCGCACGTGCAGCAGCACCCCAACTCTGGCACATGGATATGCAGTGCCTAGTGGGTGCCTACCTACATGCCAACTTTGAGCGCAATCGGCCAAGTAGTTACCGAGATATTGCAACAATTGCAAAACTGACACCTCTTCGTTTTGCGCGTGGCACGTGCATATGGGGTCACCCACATGCATCGGGAATAGTCCAATACTTGGTAGAAGGAATGAAGCTACCCTACAAAAATTACCCCGTGTAAATCGGTCAAGTGGTTGCTGAGATATAAGCCTCGCAAAAGCGTGACCACGGCCGGCCGGCCGGCCGGCCGGCCGCTCATACTCAGAAATTTCCGTTAATCTAAGGAAAGACTACGCTCGCTTCGCTCGCTCCGTAATAACAGCTTGCACTTAGCAAGCTGTTTTACATGAACAGGGTAGACGGTAACGTGCAATCCCTACACACGTTGCAAAAGCCACGACTAATCTTGTGACCAACACACTTCAGCTGCAGAAGCGAACCGCCATCATTGCAGGATCGTGACAGGGAGCGAGATGCACGGGCACGGGAAGTGGGCACATCCGTCCGGGCACCTCTCATAAAGAAGCACGAACCAACGCCGCGTGCTTATGATAACGTCACAATGAAGAACCTGGAAGTATGTAGATCGCCGTACTGTGTCCTGCAATATTTTATTATGAGTTGCAATACCTGTCTGCTTCTAAAAAATCAAAATAACTACAGGGTCGTGGGATCTAAATTCTCGCTCCCGTTTTCATTTTCATTATACGATCTTCTAAAGTACGAGTATCTGAGCGATTCTGCCGTAGTTATGACATTGTCCCAATGATCGGGTATGCCGGCCGTGTCGTCAGCACCTGACCGCATTCTCTTTGAGCTCCATACATCTCACTGGCGTACCGTCTCCCAGTCCCAGCCGCACCCAGGATTCTTACAGCCGCACCCACGCCGCCGGCCGGGCCCGACGGCGACCGTTCTCTCTCGATAAGGCTGTCCAGTGTCCACTGCACCGTCCGGCCGGCGCTACATATATGCAGGTCAGTTGCGGGATAAGATACTAAGACCGCAACCGTTTGGTGAGGAGGGTCGTAAATTTGATACGGAGACGTGACCCGGAGGGACAAGTCAGCATGGCAGGTGAAACCTTAGCGATGAAGCTGAGCTTCAACCAGTGCAGCCAAAGTTATTTGCAGGCCTCGGTAGGATTGGTTCTCGGGGATGGCCACAGTCCAACGGAACCACAGTCCTTACTGCTTTGGAATCTTTTTTTCTTTAAACACTAGCATCCGATGTGTCTATGTCTAGTCAGTGTGATGTCTAGAAAGTGTGCCTATCATCTGGCATTAGCCTCGTCAGATAAACATTACACCATGATGCCGCTACGCGATCGTGAATGGCCGAGGACCTTGTGCGGGTAGATAATCGCACCTCGCTGGCCTCAGGACGCACAGCACGCACCAAGGCAAACGCATCTGACGCGATATACGTGTGTGTGGCAATCTGGTGTAACAGAATGACGTTTTATCTCAATCACAAGCAATTGTAAAGGCAAGGTCGTGTGGTCGTCCTAGCGAAGGCGCTGGACGTGTTTGTGCTGTGTCATGTTTACATCGTGCGTATTTGTAACGTAACCAGAGTACAAACATTGATAGCCTTAAAAGCCCGAAAATTGTTCATCTTAACACTGATAGGTACCATTTGCAATAATTCACGATAACATTTCGAGACTTGTCCTCTGAATGTTTGGCACGCCGTGAAACCCATAGAAGACGTCAAGAAAGTCTCGTGCACGCCACAGCCGTGAAAGCCCAGCCTCGACCTGAAAGTCTGACACTATCGACCACCATCCCTCCACCGTGACGGTCTCAGTCGGCCAGTCACGCGTCCCCTCCCTCCCCCTCCCCTCTCCGACCTCCCCCGAACGTGGCGGGCGGGGCGACGGAGAAAGTCGAGCGGCCGGCTATGACGGTTCGGTCTCGACGAACGGAGTCGGCCGGACGGCCTACGAACTGCTGAAGTCTGTGGGCCGCCAGGGAGACGTGCTCAGCGTCTGTACGTGCACTGTGCACTATGCAGCCATGCAGATGGGGACGTTCTTCTCAAATGAGAGGCGAGAAGACTTTAAAAATGATGTAGCGCTGACCGTGGACTCGGGTGTAAATTTTGTTTTCCTTGACGTCGTGGGATGCCTTGTATTCAAAGATACATGACTTGAACACTTTTTGACGTTATTTTCTTTTTAGAAAAAAAACTTGAAAACCCCATCACAAAAAGCGTTATCAGTATTCACGATTCATGGAAGAAGATATGTAACAAGTTTGGTAAGCTCACAAATGCATACCATCCAAAAGCCGGATAAAAAACTATTATCACTTATGAATGAGAGTTGAGACCTCAGTGTGTTGGCCGCTGCGCCTCTGTCCTTGTCTGCATCCACAGGCTGGTACACTGTAAAAAAAGTTTACCAACTAGTTAGTTATCCGGCCACTTTTCACTAACCATAGGCGTGTAAGCAAAACACGCATTTCATGACTAAGTGTGTTTTCAATTACACGCAAAAGGTTGAATAGCGTGTTTTGAAACACACCTCCTAGTTTTCGAATATTTGCCAGGTTACTAAGATAAGCCGTGTAAGCGTGTTTATTGACTATCATCGGTGTGTTTTGTTAATAACTACAGACGTGTTAGGTAACACATGTGTTTGTCACACGGCCACTTTTCACTAGCTATATGCGTGTACGCAAAACACACATATTGCGTGTTAGCTAACTAAGCTGTGCGTGTTAATAAACTAAATGCATTTTTGAGAACAGGCGTGTAACTTAACTAATGTGCGTGTTAGTCACCTCTTTTCACAGCCGCCCCCCCAAAAAAACGAATCGAATTAAACTCATCAAACATGTTTATTCAAAACTGCATTCAAGCTCCTTTCAGCAAGCTTACAACTGCATACAGTAATATTTCTCTTATTGTACTAAAAATGAACCTAAAAAAGTAATCTTCTGTAGGAAACTGCCGAGCGGCAAAGGCGCTCCGTTCTAAAGTTACGTTCTAAGCTATATATAGCCTGCAGGAATCCGCACCAGCCATGACACCATACAGGCTCCAAATACCTATTACGAAAACATTGAGAGTGCTTCATTTCTGTCGATATGGGCAAACTAAATTGCAACAAAAGGGCAAAAATTCCCTGACCGAACAATGGTGGCTCATGTGTCTACAAAAAAAAAATTATTTGACAACATGGCTGCAGTGACAGGAATTGCATAAAACAGCACCTCACTGCGTTCACTGGTTGAGTGCCCAACCAAAAATTAGGTACATTTAATTTCTTGTTCAAAGCTTAATGCGGTTTTAGTGTGCAACATGCTCATTGTTCAGTCCGTCATATGTACTTATAGACGTCAATTGACAGTCAACAAATGAACAGTGTCTCCAACCTGAGACCCTCTAAAGCCTGGTTGGAGCTTCATTTGAAAAGAAAATGAGTGACATACATAAACCACACTAAAACGCCAGCAATATCTCCACTGATCTTTCCCATAATCACTCACCATACCAGTAAGGATGAAAGCCATGTCCAACAATCCATATCATTTCACTGTTTGACTTCTTATTATTCTTATTCGGGTTATGTATCACCACAGTATCACCACTTCTGCATCCCACAGCAGCTCCTTATACTGCACACGCAACACTTATACGCCACAGCTCAGCTCCTTCACAACGCACGCGTCCTCTCCCCTCTCTGACTTGGCACAGACTGAACAATGGCGGGCGCAGAGGGGCGCACAAAATGGCGATTTTTTTTCAATTAACTAAGGTCTTTGTAATGCTACAACAAAAAGAGTAGTAAGAAAACTAAGATTGTGAGTAACAACATGCGTTTGATTTGTTAGTTAACACGTTACCCAGAAAAAAAGGCAAAGGAAGCATAAACAAACATGTTTGTCAAATAGCACGGCATGGTTTGCACGGATAATATTTGTCGGCTTACAATGATGTTAGCTTTTCTGCTTCGATGAAATGGATGTGGTGTTAGGTTGCAAACATATGTGTTACCTGACCCATTTTTTGCAACAACGTGTGTTTTAATACTAGATTTTGCTTGAAGAATTAACTAACTGGTTTGTTAGCATTTTTTACAGTGTATCTCAGCCAGTGGGGCCTCCATCCGGTTCACCCGGCTCGATACAGTCCGGAAAGTCAGCTGCGGTCGCGCCGGCAGAATGATAGGAACTGCCTGAACTGCAGACTTACTGGCGAGCACTAGCATGGTGACTGGGTAGGTGCGGTGACTCCGTATTTATCTGGGTAATTTGGTATTCACCAGCGCAACCGACAGGAAAAGTAGTGACAAAAGCGTACCAACACGCCAACACAAGCGATTCTTCTGTGCTACGTCGGCCTGTACATACGCCAATGAAATGACGCACGATGCGATACAAATGAAAATATAAAAAGCGACGATCAAAATACCGATGTGAAACATCAGTCACCAATAACTAAAACTAGTTTATCAATTTAAGTTTAGCGCAATAATTGACTGAACTCTGGTGCACATCTGAAGCCGTCTGCTGCAGGTTGTAAGAAGCAAGTCCCGGGTTAGGTAAGCACGGACCCAAGGTCATCCCCTTTCAAACATGTGTGCCTAGCTAGGGACGATTCCATTCCAAATTCGATCGAAATTACCTATTCGAGTAGGTACACCTGCGCGTGTCGTAAGAGACAATACCACGGCGAACAAGTGTACGGGTACAGCTGGCGTCATAGCCTAGACATGATGCATACCATTATGGTGTGTAATGGTCTCTGCTGGCGTGCATAGCTGTAACATTTCAAACATTCAATGGATATGATGCAAGGAGGGTGACTGGAGTGCACCAACTTCCTATAGTGAGACAAATCGTACATTCTTTGCTTGAGATTTCATAGACTGGCAGCGATTCGGAAGTCCACCAGCGTTTTATGGTATTGGTTATCATTATTTCCGAGCTCGTTAGTGCTCCATATAAGTTTTGTCTTTCTTTAGAACCCGTCGAGTAGTTGAGCATTGGTTGTAAAGACATCTCATTCTAAAATCCCGGAATAGCGGTTTGCCGAATACGGAGAGAAACAAGGGAAGTCCAATTTCACCATACATACCCACTAGGGTGGCACTAAAACGGGGCTAAAATTTCGTTTTGAGAATTTTCAACGGGACGGGCAGCCAATCTGTTCTACCACCCGAGAAAACGTTGTGTGTAAAATATTGTTGGAAAATATGTTTATTTAGAGGTAGCTCAACCAGGTCAAAGTTCGCATTTTTGTGAAAAACACAACTTTGCCGAAATTTTAATTTCCACGTGTACCTATTTCTAATGTTCACAAAGACATTGGACGTTGCCAAGACTTAATTGAAACGTTTCAGCACCTAAAGCTCAGATATATAGGTACATATGAGGTACATAATTCTTTTGAAGATATGCATTGCATAACTTACTGCATAACTCCATGAAAAGAGAAAGCGGTATCATCCGTAATCAGCCAACACTTGTACACATCATTCGTCGGCTAGTCTTGCCTACTTAGAAGTTACGATCGCCTTGCGTATGTCAGAATGCTTGCGTCTTGCTCCTCGACGACCTGCATGAGGAGCTGCTGTTAGTCTTTATCCTTCGTGGGGGTCAGATCGATTTCCTAGCCATCCAAAATGCCTCGTTCCGCGAAGTCGTAGAGGCGTGAAGAGACCTCATGTAGCACATGGCGGCGTTGTAGATTGGCTTGACCTTCCTAAGAATCGGATCCTTCAAGAGGAAGTCGGTGTCCATATACCGAGGATGCTGAAGAAGCTTGTGAAGCCAGTTGCAGTGATATGACGAAGTCTGCCGTGGACTTGCTAGAGACTGAAGCTATAGTAGATTCAACCATGGGCTCGACGGGGGGGAGGTGTCCTCGGCCCTCTCCTTCTCTCGTAACGATGCAGCCATCTCACGTTTAGTGGCAGCGATCGTAATCTCCTCCATTAGAAGTTGAGGGCGACCAGCCCCTCATTTAGATACCAGAGGTGACGGCTGAAGGCAATGGCTGTCGCCTTGGACACCAATTCGAACACCAATTCGTCCAATTCGTACTCCAGGAGGGACTTGAGGAAGTCGAGATCTTGCGCTGGTGCAGACGCCAGAAGCGGTGCATTGAATCGAGCCGAAAACTACGTTGTTACCACAAAGGTCACGATTCGCTGGCGGCTGGAGGCTCTTCTTCTTAGTCGTAGTGAGCCGGGATTGTGCTCGAAAGAGGTAAAGCTTCATAGCGTAAATGGCATTGGTCAACCAGCACACATGGAGCATATCGGGGCGAGCGATCTTCATACCTCGTTTCGGAGCACCGCCGAGGACAGTGATGGCCAGCTCCAGCATCTCACGGTTGTCGGGTGAGTGCTGGCGGTCAAGGATATATGACCGAACTGTGCAAGAGCATCACGCGGGTTGTGGAAGTGGGACATGTCACAGTTTTTGAAGGTTTATGGCTTCGTAGTTCGTTCCATCTAGACGCCCACTTTTTATGGAAGCGCTTAAACAAAACAAAATCCGGGCCGCTGGACGGGCCGAGGCAGGCTGAAAATGTCTTTATAGAACAAACTCGTAAATGTTGTGGCAAGTCAGGTGGAGCAAGTCCTGCTCGAGCCGCTGCTCGATGATCGTGCAGGCTCCTGCATTGAGGCCGGTGTTCGATGCACTTGTGTCAAAACTGAGCGCCTTCACTCAATCCTTCAACTCTCACTCATCGAGGGATTCTAGCACAGCGTTTGCTGCGGCCTGTCAACTTGAGCCTGGCTAGCGAAAAATGTTCTGAAATGGCTAAGCAAAACGCAACTTATCTTTTTCACGTGCACATCTTCTCCCTGACATCACGAAGACACGGAGACCTGCCCTGTGGCCGTACACTGGCAGTGTCCCCCTGCGCATCAGTGACCGGTGATACATGAGCAGAGTAAATGCGTATTACAAACGGTTCACAATACTCAGCGAAGAAAAACCATTCCTGATACGCATTTATTTGCTCATGTAACCCTGGTAAGTGCTAGCAGTCTCGTGACCCTTCCCAACCATCGTAATACGAGAGAAGAGCTGAAGTTGCACGCCTGGCAGCGAGCTACCGTCACCGAACAAAATAAGCTAAACTACGCTGAACGGCCATTGGTTGAATCATGCATTGCGTCACAGCGCGTTTGTGACGAGAAACACTGTGGTTATGAAACAAGTAGGAAGGCATCTATCATTCATTTAAACGTGTTACAGCTCAAATATGACAATGCTTGGAAAGGCGCGACGCACATCTGAATCCCCGTTCACAATATACGTTTTGTCAATATGTACCAAGTATGACCCCATTGAGCTACCTCTAAATATAAATATTTTTTGATAAAATTTCATACAGATCATTTTTTCGTGAGGTAGAACAATATGGCTACCCGTCCCGGTTGAAAGTAAAAAAGTCGAAATTAAGTGCCACCCTAATACCCACTACACACCACCTAGTTCATTCCGAGGTCCTGACTCTGAGTTGTTCCGAAAGTCAAGTGGAGGCGGCAGCAGGGGATAGGTACCCTCTCTGAACTCCCATCGTGACGGACAATGCGCCACGAGTTGTCACCGGCAGTGCACCAGACAGGTGCGCACTTCCATCGGTATCGTGAACAAGAACGGCACCCCATTGCAATTTCGTGCACAAGCAGCTGAAACAATTGGCACTGAGCACCAAACAAGACGAAAACTTTTCCGCTGTCGCGGGAAGTAACACAGGCCAGAAGTAGCCGGCCCTGAACCCACCTGAACTTGTTGAAGCGCTGCGGGTCGGCGGCGAAGAGGTCGTTCATGCTGAGCTGCTTGCCGGTGCTGTTGTAGAGGGCCTCCAGCCTCTGGTAGGCCGGCTCCGACTTCAGGCTCGGCTTGGGGTCCATGTTGGAACTGAGCCGGGAAAAATGGGCAGCTATACCAATCGTAAAGCGATCTGCAATAGGAACAATAGGTGACGTGATGCATCAGGTGACGAATTAGATGAATATATATATATATATATATATATATATAAATCGGGATAATTAGGTGTCATCAGGGCAAGTATAATAGGAAAAAAGAATCCGGAGGCATACCAAATATTCACGCGTTATTCTGCGAGACCGTTCGGTTTTTTTCCTTCGCTCTCCAGCAACTCAGCGTCGCACGCTGACGGTGCCAATACGTCAGGCGTCCCTGTCACGTCTCTGGCGTGACTATACCACCGGGGAATGTCCAGTCACCGTGTGTGACGAGGTTGTGAAACTCGGTAAATACCAGCCACCGGAGCGGCACGGTCGGTACCAGAACACCGAGCACTCGGCCAAAACAAGGTTGAACTTGACGATTTTAAAAGTTACAGAGGCCAGAAAAGAGGTTTTTGATTATCTCATAACACTGCGGCTTTTCAACAAAAGGCCGGTACACTGACATTCACCGGTGAATTTAAGATGCTGAATCGAATGCGAGGCAAACACCTCAAACGGCCTGTATCCCCCCCCCCCCACACCATCCACCTGTCGTATTGAAATGTCGACCAATGTGTTATGTTGCCCTACACGTATGCTTCCTGTCGACATCGCGGCGATCGGGCATTAATATTGAGACACTACGTTAGATCCTCAAAGCTATAAGCGGAAACAATACCCGGACCCTCTTCATTGGTGTCTGCAAACAGCACGAGTTTCCGTTCAAACATGTTTTAAATCCAAATCCGCCGACTTGGAGTTCTCAGCTTTGGTACATACATACGCCTCCGCTCACACCCATCCCACTACTCACTGCAGAAACGCTGTGAGAATCCTTTCCACCAGCCACTGTCGCTAGAGCGCGGCATATCACCACTCGAAGCGTCCCAGTAGAAGACAGACCACATACACGAGTCCACCGGCCTCCATCACTATACACTGGAGCACCTCACAGTACCTGGGACCTCCAGGCCGACCCGCAAGCTCCACACCGTGTCGGAGCAGCCTCCGTAAAACCACACACCATTGGAAAACGCCGCCGTCACCGTGCCGTACAGGCCCTGTGACAGAACTGCTCCCATTCAGAAACTGTGTCGTTACGCTCATTTGGAGTTACGTATCAATAACTAGTGTGTGGTAATGTGCGTGCTTGTGTAATGTTTGGGAGCTTTGGTAATATGCGATATGTGCGTGAGACCGTCAGTATGCGGGAAATGGCGTGGGCGAATGAGGCTATTGATCGTGGGTGTTTTCAGACTAGAGCAATGCGCCGCCCAAGCTGTCGGCTTGCGTCACAGCCTGAAGTGGTGCAGTCTATCAGTCTATAGCTCGCTTAAATGATGCAGCCTTTGGCTATGCATGGGTCGCACCTGTATATTGCCTGTAGTGAATAAGGCATGCGGCTGACAGTCACGGCATCGGTATGTCCAATCATAGACCTCTGTACACCTGGACTGAGCGCAGAACTTTCGGCCATGACCATAGTGGCCCTAACTTTCAGATGTTATATCTCGAGATCAGTAACACCCAGATAGGTCCGGTCTTCACTGTTTGATGGCCCCGTGCATTAAAAATTGAATGCAATGTCTCCGGGGAATATTGGCTGGCACAGAGGAGGGTCTGCGCGTGGCGCGTGAGGGGTGTTTACAAAGTTGGTCTAATGATATCTCCAGAACCGCGTCACTGATTGAGCTCAAATTTTGTATGTGACCAGATACAATGCATCCGACACTATCACATTTCTCAAATAGGGGGTGCAACTGCACGTGCGCACGTGCGCACCCCTTTTTCATATCTCCGGAACTACTGGCCCGATTGAGTTCAAATTTGGTATGTGCCCAGATGGCATATATTAGCCACTATTGCATTTCTGAAACAGGGGGTGCTGGTGCACGTGCGCACGTGCGCACCCCTTCTTTATATCTCAGTAACCACTGGCCCGATTGAGCTCAAATTTGGTATGTGGCCAGATGACATACATTAGCCACTAGTGCATTTCTGAAACATGGGGTGCTGGTGCACGTGCGCACGTGCACACCCCTTCTTTATATCTCAGTAACCACTGGCCCGATCAAGCTCAAATTTGGTATGTGGCCAGATGACATACACGTTTGCATTTATGAAACAGAGGTTGCTGCTGTGGGTGCTGCCGCACGTGTGCACGTGCACACACTTTCTTATATGTCCGGAACTGCTGACCCGATTCTTGGGCCCGATTGAGCTCAAATATGGGGCCAAACATCGAGCAACTGCCGCTAACGTATTTCTGAAACTGTATTGGCGCATTCTGGAACCGCTGACAGTGCACTTCCCTTTTTATGCAAACTAATCGGCGCGTGCCATTGCTCTCAAGTTCAGAGTGCAGTATCATATCATGCATCTCCGTCAGAGGCAACCCTCGAACAGGGGATTCTGTTCTAAGTTTACAAGAGAATGTCTCTTTCGAATGGTTTTATTTGACGTTTTTCCACTTTGAACAGTGGATCTGTAAACGCATAGATCTGTAAACGCATAGATCTGTAAACGCATAGATCTGTAAACGCATAAATAACGTATTGCAAAACGATTTTATTTTACTGAACACTCTTATTCTTCATACCTACACGAATGAATAACCAACTCCACAGAAGTCATAACATATCACACGGATGCGAAACGGCCCCCGCTAAACCAACGCCACGGCCTCATTATTGACTCTCAACTAAGCATTCGCACTCGATATTCCACACGGACCAGCGTTCAACCACCAGCCACCAAAACCGTTATGTCACTCGGTGACCGGTCAAGGACAGCGACGACAAAGTGGCCGTGTAGGAGATATTGTCCCTGTAAACCATCGAAGCACATAATTCTACAGCTACGTAATTATAGTACGTAAATACATATTTCTTTCACGCCAACGTTTAGGCTGCTGATATTATCACGGTTTTGTATGTTGTCCGTGGGCTGGTCGCCTTGCCGAGTGCATGCACAATGTACATTGCACACTACTGACGTTTATCTCACTACTGCCGGCTTCCATGGCCGGCTACCACGTCTTCAATATGTCCTTATGCAGTCTGGGGCCTGATCTATGATGCATGCCCCACTGACGCATGACAACACTTAGGCACTTGAGCAGTGCTACGGTTTGTCCTCCACGTGGCACAGTAAGGAGATAGCACACGGGTAGCTCCGTCTGAGCAGTCGATGTTCTCACAGCCCAGGCAGTCCTCCGTCGCGTGACGGTCGAGGCGGTTTACCTACTGATGCACGAGCAGCACTATTAGGCTTAATTAGTGCTGCGGAATGTCCTCCACGTAGCACAAAATGAGGTAGCACACGGGTAGCTTGGGCTGGGCAGGACTTGTCACAGCTCAGGCTCAGGCAGTTTTCCGTCAGGCGGCGGTTGTTGTTGTTGGTCCCTCCGGCCGCTGGCGTCCCGCGGCGTAGCCTAGAGGCTCTGGAGGGCCCTTAAGGCGGCCACCAGGGCCGCCACCACGTCGCTGCGCCAGGCTTCCTCGGGTGTCGGCCGTCTCGTGTCGGGAGTATATTCCCAGAGGCCGGGATTCTGAGGCGGACGTCCTTCAGGCACGGGCACGTGAGCAGGACGTGCCGGGGGGGGGGGGGGGTCCGCCTCCTCTCTTCATTGCGGGCATTGCGCAGCCTCGTACTGGAGGTCCCGGCACTGGGGTGCAGGCGGGTTTCGGGCTCCGGCCAATTGAGTGCAGGTACTCAATCGGCCGGTCCGGATCTGGTGCACTTCAACAGCTGGGACTCGCGCACCCATCAGCTCGCGGTATATACCAGCCAGTAGCCGCTCTGCGCGTCGGGTACGGGTATGCGGGTCTGCAATTGACTGCATGGTCGCTCTGAAACTAGAACAGAGCACTCGGGCGGGTCTCTTCAGCTCGACGCAATCGTCGTCAGCGTAGACGGTCAGCGCGCCGGCTCCGCCACGGAGGACGCCACCCGTCGCCGGCCCATCAGTCCATACCCAGGTCGCGCACTAGATCAGTGACTTCAGGTGATGGAGCGCGGTGTCCCTCTTCGAGGAGGCGGCAGCTCCGGCTGGGAGCTCCGCTCCTATCTCCACAGCCAGGGTGGGTAGGGGTGGGGGGGGGGGGGGGCGCTGTGGCGGACTTGAGGATTCATAAAAGAAGGATTCAGTTGGTCCGCGGCGGCCAGCTAGTGCAGAGGGTCCTCGGTGGGCGGGGATGCTTCCCTGGTCGGCATCCGCGCTGCCAGCGCCGTGCGGCGCGCCGCGACCGGTACCACGCCAGCCTCAGCCACGACCCCATGGTGGGGGGCCGATCCGATGCAGCCGGTGATGATCCAAGCCGCGGCGTGCATCTCACGCTTCAGCACCTCCACGCTTTGTCCGTTGCTGGCAGCCAGGCGGCCGCTGCTGCCCTCTCCAGAGAGGGACCTGGTGGCCGGGCTTCGGTCGGTGCGGTTCACCTGCTCACTGGGCCGACTCGCTCCAGCGGCTGGCCGTTGTTTGTTGATGGGTATTCACCACGACTTCTTTTTCTGTTCGCTATTTTGCTATTCTTCCGTACAGTTACTGGTAGGCTGCAGTGGGTACATACCTACTGAATTGGGCAGCTCTGTCCTCTGCACACCACGAGGCGACCAGGCCGCATGTCGATGTATGTACCATTATAGGTAGGTGGACGGTCGGTGACAAATTAACTGAATCTAAGAAGAACCTCTTGCATAATGAAACAATGCAGCTTTTGACTCTTCAATATCTAAGTACTGCTACAGTGACTTCTGTCTCAAAAGCGTCTGTCTGAAAAGAAAAATTAATTGCAATTCAGTACTGGCATTAAACAGCATTGTTGGGGATTAAAACCATGAAAACTGCTATTAAGTTAAGAGCATAAGGCTACTTAGGTACTCAGTCAAGGATGGCCAAAAGAAAAAAGAATAAAATAGCATTGCTGTTTCGGCGACGTAGAAAGCAATCATTTTCAAGTGATGAATCGACCATTCAAGTGATAAA